GTATCTAAATATTCAGGCCAAGTTGCGCTTGTTGAAAGACAAACATTATTGATCCACCTTGTGTGAATTGTATAGTTATTACCAACAAACAATCCTGGAAGTTCAATATGATACTGGGGAGATTGTATTCTCGCTGTCTTTTACTTCTGTACTTATAATAATTGATGAATGTCAAATTGTGCATGAAAGCTTATGACATTTCCCACCATGCAGATGGTGGATTCAATTTGTATTCTCCACAGGTTTCTTTACTGATAACCCGGAGGTTAACCTTTAGTTAATCTTTAAGCCTTTGGAACTTTACTTAATGGTAGTTAATAAAAAATATACTTCTAAACTACCCACTGTGGCTTTTTACATCCTTCTAAAAATGCTAATAATAATAATAATAATAATCCTTGCATTTGATATAGCGCTTTTCACGTCTTCTAGACGTCCCAAAGCGCTTCACAGAATATACTGTAAAGTGAATTGACTGTATATTTGTGGGCGAACGCGGCAGCCAATTGCGCACAGCAATGTCCCACAAACAGGTCGTGAATTGAAAATGACCAATTTATTATTTTGTTTTGTTTTTTTGGAGGGATTATTATTAGGCGTGTGGAGTAAGGAAACTTGCCCAAGGTTTCGCCCTGCCTGGAATTGAACTCAGGTCTCTCACTTGCAAAGCGAGTGCTCTAACCACTGAGCTACAGGACTCCATCAAGAAGACTTAATTCAGAAATTATTGGCTAACTGATCACCTTTTTTCTTCAGCACATCCCCTGCCAATCCAATACACTGCAAGTTAGAAATTGCCTTTCCATTTTCACAACTTTGAAGATACAATAAAATTGAGGGGGAAGGGACAAGGCTTCATCAGCCAATTAAAAGTGCCAGGCTGCTGCAACTTCTTCTTTTAGTAATAGTGTTTTTTTTGGTTAGTTAGACGTCTGATATATGCGAAAATATATCTATCACCATGCTTAAGTATCCCAAGGTTCCAAATTTAGTTCAGATAAAGAAGGTGCTTTGATCTCATCTCCGTATCACAGCATCAAGCAACTTTTAAAAATGAGCCCAGGGTTCTGACCTCAATCTCAGGATTCTTGGGGATCTAAACTCAGATAATTTGGCGATATTGCTCAGCATCCTGTTTACCTTGTTTGTTGCTGCCATGCACTGTTTTGACATAGTGAGAGATGAATCAACTAACAGCCCCTAAATCTTTCAACTTTCCCCTTGGTAGGTTCTGTCCCATCTGTAAAGTTTCCTATTCTTTATCCACAAAAGACATAATCCTTGCACTTTTCAATATGTCTTTGGTACGTCCTCCCGACATGAAAGGGGCTATATAAAATCTAAAGATTATTTTTATTACTTCCTATATGTAGTACCTTTAATTTATCTGTACTAAACTTCATTTGCCAGTTATTAACCCATGTGCGTACCCTACTCTTACTCTGTTTGTAAGACCTTTTTGGCAACAAAGTCCTTTGTTGGTAAGAGTCTAGGCTTAGTGACTCGAGTCTGCATTGAGGTACAACTAGACTTTGACCAGCTTGTCATTACAAACATTGTCTGACAAACTTCTAATTTCCTGCTTGTTGATCAACTGTACTTGTTGGGGCTTTGGCTTGCAGGGTTAGCAGAAGCCCACAAAATATACAGTCAATTCACTTTACATAGTCAAGCCTGGATGTTATGAATGCGTGTATAAGGGTTTTGGAGACCTGAGGGGTGAGGCAGTGGTGGAGTCGGGCGATGTTGCGGAGGTGGGGAAAGGCAGAGCGGGTCATGGCATGGATGTGGGGGAGAAAGAACAGTTGAGGGTCGTGCAAGATGCTTAGGTTCCTGACTGGCCTGGTGAGGTGGAGGTTGGACGCTGAAGGTGCCGGTGAGGGGCGGAGGCGCTAGCGTGAGCCAATCAGAAGAGCCTCAGTGTTGCTGACGTTCAACTGTAGAAAGTTGGTTCTCATCCAGGACTTGATGTCTGACAGGCAGTCTGCCATCAGTGTCCTGTGGTTGAGGATGGAGGCAGAGAGGTACAGTTGGATGTCATCCGCATACATGTGGAAGTTGACACAACTTCCACATTCTCCCTCTTGGCAATGTCGTCTGCAGACATGGGCCAAACTTCCACGTGTAAGTGCATGACACACAAATCTAATTTGCCTCCTCCCGTATCGACGCCAGGTCTGCCGATGTTCTATCAGCTTGTCTGGCAGACATCATGGCCTCGATGAGTGTAAACTTCCTGCAGCTGAACGTGTTCAAGACGGAAGACATTCTCCTTGGCTCTCTTCAACATTTTCACTCCTGCAGATCTGAACTCTCAACCTCCGTGGGTTCTTCCTCAGACTCACCAAACCAGTGTGCAGTCCAGGTGTCCAGTTTGACCCCCAGCTGTCTTTCCTCCCCCATATTCGGTCCCTGACCAGGACTGACTTCCTCCACCTCCGCCACATTGCCTGCCTCTGACCATACCTTACGACAGATGTAGCCAAAACCCTTGTGGATGCGTTTGTCACCTCCCGCCTGGATTACTCAAACACACTCCTCCCTGGTCTTCCCAGTTCCACTATTCAAAAGATCCAGCGCATTCAGAATTCTGCCGCCCGCATACTTACCAGACCAAACTCCATATCCACATCTCACCAGTTCTGGCCAGGCTTCACTGGCTCCCCATCACCTCATGGATTGACTTCATGATCCTCACACTCGTGTTCTCTGCACCTCCCTTTCATCTCTGACCTCTTCACTCCCCAATCCACTCAACTGACATTGGCCTCCTGCTTGTCCCTCGCATTCTCCGCTCCACCATTGGAGGTCGCGCATTTAGCCACTACGCCCCGAAACCCTGGAATACTCTCCCTCAATCCCTCCGCTTTGCCCCCTCTCTCCCCTTTTTCAAGTCCCGCCTGAAAACAAATTCAATAATGTGTTTCAAAAGGAGACTAGTGCTGTATGTTATTGATATAAAGTATCAGCGACCGATCTAAATGGAATCGGAGCTACTAGTGTGTAGCAGGTATAGTTGACTTGAGCATATTGTTGTGATTTATAACAGAGTAATGCTATTCAGCAGAAAGATTAGAAGATGTTAAATAAGTAGGGGAAAGCCAAGAAGATTAAGTAAAAAGAACAAAAGTAATTCTGTTACACATTTATAATAAAAAAAACAAGTCCTTTGGTGCTTGATAATGAATTTGATAATATTATTGTTCTTATTAACATCTTCCAAACCAAATAGATTGATTTTAATTGAAAACCGTTAATTCTTCTGGTGCTCTGCCACTCTGTTTTACTGTAGGTGGCATGAGAGGTCTGCACCTCCCTCCACCGACCTGGAGTCTGACCCCTGTTCTTGGCTGTGAAAAGCTCACAGCAGTGACATTCGCTCCATCTGACCTAACAATGGGAGGAAGAAAAGATTGGCTGTGTTTTCAAAAAAAAAAATTTAAGAAACAAAAGTACTCTTGCGAGATTTAGGGTACATTAAACCTATATTTGTAAAAGCGAAGCAGACTGTTCCTTCAGAAATAAGCTAGAATTTGGCTTTTTCCTCACTTTTTTCTTGAAATTGAAGGGGCATGAAGACACTGGAGCTTTGTACTAATTTACTGAAACGTATGATTGTGGTTGCAATTTTCAAACATTTTTCCCTCTGCAGGGCCAAGTGCACATTTTGCTTTTGCTAACTGTTTACAACTAGCCCTTGTTTTCATTCATCTTGACTGCAGAACTTCATGGCAGTTATATACTGACAGATTTCTACCTGTAGAAATCTCCACAAGCGAGCTACCCAAGCAATCTTATTGCAGAGCTACTCTCTCCATCATTGCAGGTTGTTACTGCCTGAATCAAATTTAAAATTCACTATCTTCTACTCATGGGATTCAAACAATTACATTGCTGAAAAGTCTAATCTCAACTCTTTGCCCTTCAATGCCCTTCAATAACACAATTCCCTTCAATTGCACTTTTAGGTTTGGTGTAAGTGGGGCATTAAACATCACAGGAAGTTTTTAAGGGCTATCGGGCCACTCCTTTCTCATTCTTCACAATTTTTAACTTGGAGTGGGGGGATTCCATATAGACAATTTAGGATTTGTCCGAGAAACGGTAATTCTATCAATGTTTTTTGTACTTTGAAGGCAGAATGTATTTGGAGATATTACACTAATATTTTATTTTGATGGAATATATTTCTGATTTATCACCACATTTCACCAGTTCTGGTCAGGCTCCATTGACTCCTCTTCACCGAACGGATCAACTTCAAGATCCATTCACTCTCTGGCATCTCCCTACTTCTCCAACCTCCTCACTCCCCAGTCCACCAATCCGCGCCTCCGCTTGACTGGAACTGGCCTCCTGCTTATCCCTCGCACCCTCTGTCCCACCATCGGAGGTCATGCTTTCAACCACTATGCCCCAAAACTCTGGCACACTCTCCCTCAATTCCTTTGCCTTGCCCCCTTTATCCCCTTTTTCAGGTCCCGTCTGAAGACTTTCCTGTTCGACCGTGCTTACGAGCCCCTCCCCCCGGCTCGGAGTCAGGCTCCGCCACTGTTAAGCACTCTGAGACACTCCCTGCGTGGAGCGCGCTATATAAGTGCAAGTTGTTGTTTTTTTTTGTTTCAGTTTTGCGCAAATAACTAGCACCTGATGAAAATGCAATGAATTCGACAATAATATGGACTATTGCTGTGGTTAATCAAAAATGAGAAACATTTTCAGTGCATTCATTGGTAAGGAGCTTTTCAAGGGAAAAAGATGTGCTTCGATAAAGTGCCCCTGAGTTGGTTAGCAATGTTTTGCTTGCAAACCCACTGAAGTAGATGCACACATAAGCGTTAATTAATCTATTTTCTACTTGCTATGCTTTATGTTGAGCTTGTAGAAAACAAGAATCAAATATTCTTTTCCCTATATTTTCATTGGATTTTACCAAACAAGCAACTTCAATTCAATTAGCATCCACTGGTCTAAAATGTTCCATTTGCTTTTCTCCTTAGGATGGAAAGAAAAAATTTGATAAAGAAAGTGAAAAGTATTATTCTGTATTAGACAAGCATTTGAACTTGTCCTCAAGGAAAAAGGAAGCCCATTTGCAAGAGGTAAGAAAATGTAATGTAAATAACTGCTTTGGGTAAATAACTGTTCTGGACAAATGTTAAGACAATTTTGTTTTAAAGTTCCTTATTCCTTTACTAACAAAATGTTTGTTTAGTTAATTATAGCCTAAAATTCAATTTAATCCAGATAAACAATTGAAACCTTTCGGAGTTTTCACCACTTGCACTACTTCTGTCCACTATCACTATCCTTATTTAAACCAGGTAATTCGGTTCAGCCATTCTGTATTAATTTCCCCCACCACCAACCATCTCCTTCCCATATTCTTTCCCATATTCCTTCCATCCTCGCATCCAATTCCAAATGTGAGGAGGTGACGGACTTATTTGGGCCCAAAACCGAGCAGATCTGCTCAGCTCAGATGTTTCGAAGTGAAGTCATAGAAACCTGGGTTCAATTCCTGGCAGGGCGAAATCTTACGCAAGTTTCCTTACTCCACACGCCTAATAATAATCCCTCCAAAACAAAAACAATAATAAATTGATCATTTTCTATCACCGACTGTTTTTGAGACACTGCTGTGTGCAATTGGCTGCCGCGTTTCGCCCACAAGTATACAGTCAATTCACTTTACAGTATATTCTGTGAAGCGCTTTGAGATGTCGAGAAGACGTGAAAAGCGCTATATCCAATGCAAGATCATTATTTATTATTATTATGTGGAAATGACACTAATGACCATGTGAAGGTCTCAGGAGGTTGGAATATCAGGAGGATTTGCACCTTAATAATAATCTTTGCATTTGATGTAACACCTTATCATGTTGTTGAGACGTCTTAAAGCCAAGGAAGTAAAACACAATGATCAAAAAACACTTGCACTCGCTTCTTTTCGTTTACCATTTTACCAACAAACACACAAAAAGGTCAAAGTACACATGCATACTGTGTGTGATTATGAATGTTGGGCAAGTTTCCTTACTCCACACGTCTCTGTTTACCTAGCAGTAAGTAGGAACAATGTTGTTAGTCAATTGCCGCATTGCTTTTCCGGGGGTAATAAAAAAATAATAATAATAAATTGGTCATTCAATCCACGACTGTTTGTGGGACCCTGCTGTATACAATTGATTGCCATGATTTGCCCACAAAATATGCAGTCAATTCACTTTACAGTATATTCTGTGAATTGCTTTGAGACATCTCGAAGACGTGATAAGGCACTATATCAAATTATTAATTATTATTATTGAGATCACATGCCCAACGACGGTGTCTTTTACTCATCTCTTATTTACTATTTAAAAGTTTGATTTCACCATAACTGAATTGCTATTTTGCCACATGTGGCTTATGGCTAACCTATTGGACAACCCTGTTTTATACTGAAATTTTGAGCCATCTGTGGGTAATTCTCATGGTTCTTTCTAATGGCTGTTTCCAATGAGAATTGGTGCAAATTAAAAATAAAATTCCTTTCTATTTGCAGGCTGACACACAGATTGAGAAAGAATGGCAGAATTTTTATGAAGCCTCGTTGCAGTATGTGTTCAAAGTTCAAGAAGTACAAGAAAAGAAGAAATTTGAATTTGTCGAACCTGTAAGTCTCTATTTCTTAGATTGTCATTAGGATCATATTGTATTATTGATGATATTTTATCATAAGCCTACTTTAATAGAGATCTTTTACAAGTAATAAAAAGCTTTTATTATACTGTTATTTAACAGTCATTTTTACTGTAGCTTTGAAAGAAGTGCATTTTAACAAGTTAACATGAGGTTGAGATGCTAAGGTCACCTGTTACTTTCAAAAACCTGAAAATATGCTTTAGTTTTTAATGCTAAACAAGAGCATAAAATATTTGGTAGAGATGGCTGTTAATAGTTAGTAGAAGAGCTGAAATCTGAGCCAAAATCTTAACCCAGATTGGTGCTATTTGAAATTCTTATTATCTACCAAGCCATATTTACCAGTTGAAGACACATTGCAGTTCTATTTGGCAAGCAGCAGAGAAAGAACATTCTTGCTCTTGAGTACAGTTCAGTCTCAAGCTGTGCAAATCAGATAATGAAGGACTACCCCATTCCAAGGTCCACCTTCAAATCATCGAGAGTGATGTGGCCAAGCTGTCCTTCATGGGACCTTGACCAGAGCAGCACCAGAAGACTTTAAGATAGACATCCATATTTATGCCAAGATCTACAGAGCTTCTGCAGCTGCCCCTTAACATTGAAAGTCTTGTGTGGAATGTACTTCATCACTTGTGTTGGCTTTAAAACACTCTTCCAAGATGTTGTCACCACTTGGAACTCAAACTTTTGTACTCGGATATTCAAAGATGCAGTTAATGGGCTAAACTAGCAATCCTTGAGAAGATTTTAATCAGTGGGAAACCTCAACAATTTGGACGTTAACAATCCCATGGCACTATTCAAAAAGAGAAATTTCTAGGCCAGCAACAACACCAAATTACATTTGTATAGAGCCTTTCACATCGGGAGGACATCACAAGGCTCTGGACAGTCAGGGATTTGGACCCAAGCAGGGGGTTGGGATTAGGAGGGGTGGAGGGCAGGGAGGGTAGAAGTGTGACCGAAGCACAGTCAAAGAGGAGTTTCTTGAACGTACCTTGAAGGAGGCAAGGGAGGGAGCAAAGCAAAGGGCCTGTGGGATGGAGTTCCAAAGGGTGGGGGCAGAGAGGCTGTAGGCCCGTCTGCTAATGGTGAGACGGGAGAGGCATGTGGAACGGGCTGTAGCCTCCTGAATGGAGGGAGCGGACAGATTGATATAGGGTTAGCAGGTCACAGAGGTAGGAAGGACCAAGGGCATGGAGGGCTTTGAAGGCGAGGACAAGGATTTTTGGAAATCCTCTAAGAGATGGGGAGCCAGTGGAGCCAGGTGAGAGTGGGGGTGTCACAGAGCCTGGTGTGGAAGAGGACATGAGCTGTAGAGTTCTGGATGATCTGCAGCTTGTGGAGGAAAGAGTTGGGACGGCCAACAAGCAGGGAGTTGGAGTAGTTGAGCCGAGACGTAATAATTGCTTGAATGAGGGTTTTGGCGGCCTGAGGGGTGAGGCAGTGGTGGAGCCGGGCATTGATGTAGAGGTGGGGGAAGGCAAAGCAGGTCATGGCGCGAATGTGGAGTAGAAAGGACAGTTGAGAGTCAAACAAGACGCCAAGGTTCCAGATTGGCTCAGTGAGGTGGAGTGTTCATCCATGGTCAACAGTGCAGCAGAGAGGTCAAGGTGGATGAGGATACAAAGGGAGCCCTGGTCACAGATAGACAAAGTGTAATTTGTCACTTTGACCAGGGATATTTCTGTGCCGTGGGCAGCACGGAAACACGATTGGAGTGATTCGTAGAGGGAATGGCGGGAGAGGAAGGAGCAAAGCTGGGAAGCAACGACTTGTTCCAGGGCCTTGGAAAGGAAAGAGAGGTTTGAGATAGAATGGTACTTAGAGAACCAGGATGGATCAGGAAAGGTTTTTTTTTTATTCTCTCCCAATGTGAAGGCACCAAAAACCAATATATAGATTATTATTGTTTTATCTCTTCCCCTCTATCATTTCTGTAAGGCATTTGTTCTTTCAGTAACCAACCAGGATCAATTTTGTGAGACTTCTGTCCTTGTTGCATTCTGACTGTGTCCAATTATTATTTGACCTTATACCCCCAAAATAATAAATCATGTTATGGCAGTAGTTTTCTGTGGAAAGTTATGCCAGTTGATTAACCCTTACAATACACCTGGCAGTTAATAGTTTATTAACTATTATTTATTTTGACATAGTATTACCCAAGAACAGCATTGCACAACTTGATCTATGAAATAAACTTAATTTTCATTAACTGGAAAAAAAAGTTGAGATTTCACTCAATTGTAGACTTTTCATCCACAAATAATAATATAATATATAATAATAATCCTTGCATTTGATATTGTGCTTTTCATGCTTTCTAGAAGTCGCAAAGCGCTTCACAGAATATACTGTAAAGTGGATTGACTGTATATTTTGTGGGCGAAACACGGCAGCCAATTGCGCACAGCAGTGTCCCACAAACAGTCGTGGATTGAGTGACCAAATTATTATTGTTTGTTTCTTCTTGAGGGATTATTATTAGGCATGTGGAGTTAAGAAACTTGCCCAGTATTTCGCCCTGCCAGGAATCGAACCCAGGTCTCTCGCTTGCGAGGCAAGTGCTCTAACCACTGAGCTACAGGACAAAACATAGTCACTACACTTTACATTATATACTGTGAAAGGCTTTGCAATGTCCTCCCATTAAATGTTAAAGGTCCTGTGCTACTAATCAAAAAGAGAAGGATTTTTCTTTCCCAGTGTCTTAACAAGCAAACTGACTCATAAATTGGTAATTTGCCATGTGTGGGTTCTGCTGAATGCAAATTGCCACATTTGCCAACAAAATACCCATGAGGTACTTTGAGATGTTGGACATGGTCTATATGAAATTCTCAAATTATTCTTATTTTGATCATTGAAGTCATTTTGATTTTCCCATAAAAAATTTGCTTTCATTTTGTACAATTTGACTTCCATAGATGAAAATCTCTTGCTCACCAGATTGATTTTGAAAGTGAGATTACTCTGGTGAAACTGAAGGTGGCAGTCAGCAATATATTTTCCACATCATTTTGGTGTTCAGTCACTTTGATAAGTTAATAAATCTTCAGTGGGTTTGCACGGATTTAATTTTTAGTCTTGACTGTTCTGTGAATTCATATCTTATAATTAAGGAATACAGACCAATTCAATGTATCCATTTTTTGATTACAGTGGGTTATGGTACTATAAAATTGAATATTTTGTTTCATTTATTATACAAATTTAATCAGATTTTTAAATATCTGCACAGGCTAATAAAGACTTATGAACTTTCTGCCAATTACTATTTTAGATGAGAATAGAGAAAAATACAGAAATGGAGAAAACCATCATTATTTGCATTCCTTTTCTTAATTGACTTTTTGTCCATTCCTTTATATTTTCTTCTATTTTTCCAGTTAGCCCAATTTGTCCCATTCCCTAATAGATGGTAACAAAGCAATCTTCTCTTAGAATTGCTCATTTATGTTCAGGAGGTTTGCAAGATTGACTTGGGTAACTCGCCTTCTGATTGTCACTCTTTGCTACTGTTCTATCGTCCTTTGCTACTGTTCTGCTATGATTCTGACTCCCTTGACTCCCATCCTCTGCTCGGATGCCCATCTACCATTGCTTAGTGTTTGAGATATCCTCCTGACATGAAAGATTCTATATCATTATAATTAGCACACTGAGACGCTACCCAGTGTGGAGGGTGCTATATAAGTGCAAGTTATAATAATAATTAATAATCCTTGCATTTGATATAGCGCTTCTCACGTCGGGAGGACATCCCAAAGCGCTTCACAGAACACACTGTAAAGTGAATTGACTGTATATTTGTGGGCGAACGCGGCAGCCAATTGCGCACAGCAATGTCCCACAAACAGTCGTAGATTGAAAATGACCAATTTTATTATTGTTTTGGTTTTGGAGGGATTATTATTAGGCGTGTGGAGTAAGGAAACTTGCCCAAGGTTTCGCCCTGCCTGGAATTGAACTCGGGTCTCTCACTTGCAGAGCGAGTGCTCTAACCACTGAGCTACAGGACTCCACGAGTTGTTGTTTTATTAGTGTTGTATTGTTAAAAATATTGGTAATTTCTCATTTGTCTAACAAATGATTACTCATTCTTTTACCTATTCTACTTTTTATTTCTCTTTTGCTTTCTAGATTATTGGTTCCTTTTTGGTTCCATTATTGTTTCCTTCCTATGAGCCATGAGCAGTTGAACATTAATTGAGCTCCTGACATTTTGCTCATCTGTAGAAGGCCACTTGGCCCTTTTGTGTTAAACTGCAATGTGGCACATATCCTAGATTTAAAAAAGCCACAATGGAGTTGTTCATTTTTACTTAACAATATATTATGATTTACATATACAAATTGTGGTTGATGTATGGTGAATGTCCTTTGTAATATCATTGCTAACATAGTCACAGTAAATGACTGGAATTTGCAGCCTGTGTCACTCTGTGTTCCTAGTTCCTAGTTTCAAAATGTGCAAGTAAGCATTAAGGCTCAAATTAAGTCAATTTTCTGCATCTATAACAGTCGTTTTGCCAATGGAAGTATTTATTAGTTTTTTTAATATGAAGGGACTACCTGAGGTTTGTTTGTGTAGAATTTCATATTTGAAATTAAAATCCAGTCCATTACCATTTATGGTAATGGCCTTCTGCATTCTTCATTCCAACCAATCCTGTGATGAACTGAAGTTTTTTTTAAAAAAAATTGGTTAATAGATTTTCATCATTTCCCCTTGATTAGCTGTCTACATTGTCCCTGAGCATTGGTTGTTTAGCCATACCTTTGCTTGAATTGAGTTGAAATATGGAAAGCTGAGATGGGTGCAACAGGAAAAGGCAAAAGATCAAATCGACATATATATTCTGCTAGAAAAAAATAACTTCCTTAATGCTCCAATCGACTTTAAACAGTCAATAGAGGAAAGAAAACTGTTTTAGGATCCGTTTTGTATTTTGTGCATTGCAGTGCTTTTCTGCCTTGTTTCTTCTGCTATGGTGCAAACTTTTATATGAATGAAGATGGCGATCACTTCAAATTTACATGCTTCCCCACACCTAGAATAGCTAAAACCAATCAAAATACTGATATTTTTACTGTTTGTGCTTACTTTGTGTTAATATGAAACATATGAATAGCCATGTCTCTATACTATAATAATAATCCTTGCACTTGATGTTGTGCCTTTTCATATCGAATGCCTCAAACACATTGCAAAGTTTTCTGTAAAGTGCAGTGACTGTGTATTTGTACCCTACAAATGCTGCAGTCATTTTACAAGCAGCAGTATCTCATAAACAGCTATAAGGTGAGCGATCAATTTGATCTGAAGGATTGTTGGCCAGGAGAAACTTCCTTGTCATTCCGAATAGTACCATGATGTCTACCTGAATAGGCAGTTGAAACCTTAGTTTAATGTCTCATTTGAAGGATGACACGTCTAATAATTCAGTGATTTATTCAGCTAATAAATAGCACTGCTTTATGATATCAGCTAAACTATACTCAGGAAAGTCCTGACATGGGGCTTGAATCCGCAACCTTCTGATTCGGAGGGGAGAATGCTATCAACTGAGCCAGACAAACACTTTATTCTAATAACTAGAATAAGTAACAAGTAGCATTCAATCAACTGAACATTTCCTTGCAACTTGTGTGTCTACACTCCTATATATGCACACAACATATGTAGATTGTATGTTTGCATATTTAAGTGTATGTATGTACTAATCTGTATGCTACACAAACAGAAAATTATATATTCAAATAATATATACACAAATGTATACACAAACCACAAACTCATTTATGCACCACAAAAAAGCATTCTTCCTCCAGAAAGCATGTTACCTGAAAGACAATTTCAGACAAGACCATTATAAAACGTGTGGAATTTTAGGTTTTTATATTTATTAAATGTATGTAAAAATGTATATATATTTGAAAAACTAGAATTCCAAGTGTTTTATAATGGCCTTGTCTGCTTATGATAGAGAGAGATTAACTACGAGACAGAAAGATAATATTTTTTGTGCAAAACATTAGTTAGACTCCATCTAGGCATATTGCATCCATGTTTAAGCACCTCGTAAAATACATCACAGGCGCAGAGAGGGTGCAACATAGATTTGCTCGGATGAAGCTAGCTTATTTTGTACTTATTATTGCTTATTCATATGGTTTGGATGATGGGGATCTTGCCTTATTGGGGTGAGATGGGGTTCTATCGCGGCTACAAACTGGAACAGGAAAAGGCACTCTGGAAACACCCATTCTCAACTGGTCATATACTGGGGTTGTATCTAATGGAACGAATACTGCAACTGACAGATAAACTCTAAACTTCCTCTCAGATTCAGGCACTACTATTGCTGAAACCAAGTTGCTCTAAAACAGGAAAGTTTTTGCTGTATAAAAAGATTGCATGATAGGTTTCCAGTATTGAATTAGTGGTCTCTTTTTATTAAATATGTGTGCTTAAAAATATGCTCCTCTCTCCACAGCTGTTGGCATTTCTTCAAGGGTTATTCACATTCTACCATGAAGGTTATGAGCTGGCTCAGGAGTTTGCTCCATACAAACAGCAGCTGCAGTACAATCTACAAAATGTAAGAATTGTGATATATATGTACATTATGTCCGAAAGGAGCTACAGCCCAGGGGAAAATTGAATCGGACAAATCTATTTACAGCTTTTAGAATAACTGCATATTTTCAACATTTATTTAATTGAATATTATAACTATAAATGTAGTTTCTTATGTAATCGGGCATTCTATTAATTAATCATGTTATCAGTATTATTCAAATGTAAGGCAAAAATCTGCATGCTTAGTCTACTTAACTTGTAGAAAATCATTTTTTTGAAGGATTACAGTGCCCAGAATTGAAAGATTTCCAAACAAGAGTTTTCTTTGGGCTTTTTTTTAAAACACATTAAGATTTTAACTTTAATGAAAAGCAAGGGTCACGCAACATATAGATTTAAAGTAATATTAATTCTTAGTTTTCTCCCATTTTACAACTGTGTAATTTGTTTACACAAAGATGATTATATCACGACTGTTAAACTATTGTTTTGAAGTGAGAAATACTTGTAAACTATCAGATCACTGCAGAGACAATGTTGATCATTTGAGTATGTTGGCATTGTAAAATTCTTGGTATATCATTTTGTTTGTTTGTTAGAGCATTAATAAAGACAGTGCAACAGCACTGCAGACCTCATAACCTGTGAGCTAGGACCCTACCTATTTCTTGTATATATTAATGACCTGGATTTGCAGACCCAATGTAAAGTAGTTACATTTGCAGATGGTACAATTTGGGGAGGGGGAGAGAAACTGGAGGCAGAGGAGGCAGGAAGGTCTTACAAAGAGAGCTTGATAGGGTATGCAAATGGACTGATAATGGCAAATGAAATTTAAAGCAGATTAATGCAAGTACTATTTATAGGAAGTAAGAATAGAAAACATGTGTACTCCATGGATGGGATAGAACTTGTCAAGGAACAGGTTGCCAGGAAAAGTTGTTGAAGCCAGGATGCTGAACTCATTTAAAGAAAAATAGCTTGATGCAGCAATGGGAAGACAATAGGATAGGTATTGTGGAAGGAAGGATGAGATCAAATGGGTTGGAGGGCCTTCTTCCCCCAAACCAATCTTCTGAGATTTTGACTCTAAATTCATGTTTGAAAACAATTTAGTTGTGTACCTAGGCTTCTTAACTATGCTGATGAGATGCCTGCAGTCAGCATTTTGACCGTGCCTTCAGCTCCCCTCTCGACTGTCTACCCCCTCCTCGCTCCTTCCCTTCCCTCCCCTCACCCTGACCATTTCCCCGCTGTTCGGGTCCTGACCCAACTGTACAGCGCCTTGGGACGTCCTCCCGACGTGAAAGGCGCTCTATAAATGGAATCTTGTTGTTGTTGTTGTAACTGTCATGTGAAACCCCAGTTATGCATGGGTTCTTTATGTTCATATTGACTAACTTTAAACTGAAAATTACAAGTAACAAAACCTAATGATTATATAATTGATTTTTTTTCCCCATCTCTTAAGACCAGAAATAATTTTGAAAGTACCAGGCAGGAGGTGGAGAGGCTGATGCAGAGGATGAAATCAGCTCCCCAGGATTACAAACCCCCTGGCCAGTGGACAATGGAGGGATATCTCTATGTACAAGAAAAACGTAAGAGATTGAAATGTTCCCTACCTTTGCTACCTGTTTAAACCCCAATCATTTATCCGCACCCCTTCCCACAGCTGGCTCCGGCCTCCTGCACATTCCTCATGCCCTTCGCTCCCGTGCTTTCAGCCACTACGATCAGAAACTGTGGAACTCTCTGCCGCAATTCCTCTGCTTTGCCTCCTACTTGCCTGTCTAAGGTTACACCTGAAGACCATGCCTGTGGTCAACTCTCCTCTCTCCTCCACCCCGTTAAGCGCTCCGAGACTCTGCCCTTGCATGAAGGGCACTAAAAATGCTATTTATTGTTATAAATTTGTTGTTGTATATTAATTGGAATAGGTTTCCCATTTCCCATTGAGTAATATAATGTCTATTTAGAAAATTGGCTGAATGATGAGATTTTAATTTTACTTCTGGGAAGTGCATTTGAATGCAACCTACACCTATGTAATGAAATGTCTCTCACTTCTTCAGACTGCAAGAATTCCACTCACACTCAGCCCAGTCTTTGGGGCCACATAAACTACAGCACAAGATTACGTTCCAATTAGTGCTATAATTTGATTATATTATCTATTCGCTCAGCGGTCAGCAGCCTACTTCATGTCCCCCTATCTACTCAGCCCACCATAAGCAGTCAGGCTGACCCCACTCTCTGGAACTCCATCCCAGAGTCCCTCGGATTGTCACCTCCCTCAACTGTTTCCGGGTCATTCTCAAGATCATATTTCTTTGATCGCACCCTCTCCCCATCTCCCTCAGCTCCCACCGCTAGCTCAGGTGCCAAGATGGGGCTGTCTTTGGGACATCCTCCCATCTTCAAGTGCTATGTAAATATAAACCTGCATTGTGCATCAGTAATCTCTCTTTGATGGGACACCAGATTCACTGGTATAAAAAATGGGGGGAAAAATTGTTCTGATGTATTGTGAATATTGTGATGTTGGGCTTAAATACACTTTATTGGGGAAGAGTAGAAAAAACGTGTTTGAACTCAACTATCGTATACCCACCAACAGTTAAATCGTATAATAAATAATAATAGATAATAAGTCATGGCTCATTATGAGTCGAATGAACATCTGGCATGGGTCTCCTTTGCCACTATAAACATAGTTAAATGAAATACATCTTTTTCTTTGATGAGTTTCAAAAACCTGTCAGGCAAAGCAATGTTGAGGACATTTGCCTGCTGCCACAAACTGTCTGAGGTGAAAGCCGAGCTTGTGGTGCCAAACATTTTGGTTGCTGCAAACATCTTTTTCTACCTTTTTGCATAACTAAGGTGGTTTCATTTCCCCACTAACAAGCACTGGAACTGTTCACAATGCCACTATAAATGCAATGTGGCAGCGAAGGTTTTGTTTGTTACTCTGTGACTTAGTATTTTCAATTGTTGTACATCAAAGACAAACACAATCTTTGTTTTCTTTGTGGGAGCCTGAACCAAAAGTTGTTTGTTCAATATGCTGTTTCTGGCCTTATTTATACATGTTGCAAGTTAACCTCTTCTTCCCTTGCTCGGCATCACTGTAAATCGCCCCAAAACATTGTCCCATGTGAAGAGTCCTGTAGCGTAGTGGTTTGAGCACTAGCCTCTCAAGCGAGAGGACCTGGGTTTGATTGCTGGAAAGGGTGAAACCTCTAGCAAGTTTCTCAACTCCACAGCAAAATGTAGCAGTATGTAGGAACCCGATTATTAGTTGATTGGCGGATTGCTTTCTGAAGGTAATAATCCCTTCAAATAATACATAAATAATAATTATTCGGTCACTCAATCCACAACTGTTTGTGGGAGACTGATGTGCGCAATTGGCTGCCACATTTTGCCCACAAAATATACAGTCATTTCACTTTGTAACTCTTTGTGTAACTCGTTGAGATGTCTCAACGATGAGTTAAGGCCCTATATCAAATGCAAGGATGTACGATTATACCTTATATAACTATTATACGATTATTAAGAGTGCTGTGTAAATGCAAATTGTTATTGTTAACCATGTGATTGGATTTCTTCTTTCTTCTTGCTAGGACCCCTTGGGTTTGCCTGGATAAAACACTACTGCACATATGAAAAAGCAACAAAAACATTCTCAATGACCCTGTGTGAACCTAAGTCGGGGGGCAAAGTGGTAAATTCTAAATTTTATCTTTAATAATTATAAAAATAATTAAGAATATAATAAAGACAAAATGTCTGTCTGTCTGTGTGCCCACCAAGAACACAATAACTGTTTGACGTAGAGACATGAGGGGGGAATCTCCTATTGTTGATGAGCTGTATTAAAAAATGCTTTAATTAAGCTCCCAAAAAGGTATGCATGGTATCCCCAACAAGGTGTAGCTATGCATGGTTATCTGCAACAAAGTGTAGCTATGCATGGTATTCTGCAACAAAGCAGTGACAGAGGAAATCACACACCATTCTAGAGAGATACATTTATACTAATAAAATGATGAAATGTCTGTCTGTGTATCTGTCTACCAATAACACAATAACTGATTGACGTAGAGACATGATTTATACCAAAAGTCTTGCATGGGAGAGTGTCATGGGCATTTTTTTCTAATAAAGACGAAATGTCTGTCTGAGTGTCAGTCTGTGTGTCAATAACGGAATAACTGATTGACGTAGAGACATGATTTATATCTCATCGGAAAGGTCTTGCTTGTGAGAGTATCATGGGCATATTTTTTTCGGGATTGTGACCTAAACAAGCTCATCACACATGTATGGACTAGGAGTCCTCCCACTGAGTTCTCCCAACAGGAGTCCTTCCAAAACAATATGTGTGCAAATATGTGAACAAGGGATGCTTACGAGTTCAGTAGCACATTTTCTTAATCTTAAGGGATAAAGATGCATAAGAAGCGAAGATCAAGCCTTTCAAGGACAAATACAAATGCCAGACAAAAGAGAGAAGGCTGATTAAATGAAACTGGTTGCAAATGGGTACAGCTAGATAAGCATACGAGATACTGGTCTCTTGATAATCGCTTGTTAGTCGATTGGCAGATTGCTTTCTGGGGATAATAATACCTTCAAAAATAATAATAATGTGATCACTCAATCCACGACTGTTTGAGTGGTGCAATTGGCTGCTGCGTTTCGCCCACAAAACACACAATCGCTACAATTTACAGTGTATCCTGTGAAGCACTTTGAGACGTCTCAATGATGTAATAAGCACAATATCAAATGCAAGTATTATTATAATTAGCATTGGCAGTGTAGAGAAAACCATCACATAGATTGATTGTGTGATGCATAATAAATGCAGTTCTCAAATGTTAAAGGCAAAGATCTTCCTCAAGTCAATTGATTTACTGTAGTTAAATAGGCTATCAGTGTCTTAACTTGTGGTAATGACTTGCCTAACTTGTCAATCTTTCATTAAATAGAATGGCCTTGTGTCATGTCCAGAAATGTTCAAACTGAAGTTTTGCATTCGAAGGAAGACTGATTCAATTGACAAGCGCTTCTGTTTTGACATAGAAGTGGTGGAAAGGTGAGTCACATTTAAACTGGTGGAACTAACTTCCTTAGGCCAATATATATTTTTTTTTATTGGGGTGATGGATTAAATTGCATTCAATGATTAATTATACTGCCCAGTTGTTCATGCAGGCACTATCTCTGTAAACTTGAAAGGCACTATACACATGTATTTTTTATTGTTATTCTAAAACCACTTCCTGAGCATTTGTAAAGACTAGGGGATGATCCAGGTTTTAAAACGGTGAAACCAATTTAATGTAGGTGGAAGCAAGATATTTACCTACACCATTTGAGCTAACCAGAAGGGCATAGTTTTAAATTTAAATGGCTAAATGGAGGGTATTAATATTAATAATTACAAATAATTATTGATTGAATTATGACATGTTAAGGTCCCACAAGCAACTATGAGGTAAATAACCAAGTTATCTTTCCTGGACTGTTGATTAGGAGAAATTCTTGTTTTTAAATCTTGTTGTGGGACCTTTAATGTTCACCTAGCTTAATATATCATTTGCTCTGATGTTATGTCCTACACAGTGCTACACTGGACTATGAGCTCAGGCCACATTGTAGTTCCAATAGGGTCCATGATAAAGTAGGTTCTACATAGTGCGAGAAGGAGTGGTTTTAATGGACTGAATGGCCTTTCCAATTTTTTCCTCTTGTGGTAACATGTATCTATTCTAAGCTATATTGTACTTGAGTCAAAGTGCATCATTTGGATTGTAGATTTAAACAGTGAATATTTGGTGCAAACAAAATTATATATCGTGTATTTTAAGTTAATTAAATGCCTTATCAAAATCTTTTTGCTCTTTCAATGTAATCAGCACTTTAATTGTGTTTTGCACTTTGCTTTCCTGTTTCAGACACGGCATTATCACACTCCAGGCTCAGTCTGAAGCAAACCGAAAACTCTGGTTGGAGGCTATGGATGGAAAGGAACCGGTACAAGATTTTTTAATAAAGTGTTCAGTATTGTCAGTCCTATCTGCCATTGTAATTTATATTGGACGTATTCATAAATGTGCTTACTGTGTGCTTCTTTATAATCCGGCCATTATATGAGATTGTATTTAATATTCTATTTTACTTTATTGCCTAAATTTCGCCCATAATAAACACGCAAGCACAATTTTACCTTCTTATGTAATAACAATCCTTTCATATTGGGAGGACGTTTCAACATGCTTCACAGGATTTATTGTAAAGTGCAGTGACTAATCAAGTTATTTCAGCACAGTAGTGTATCTCATCTGAAATGAGTGTATCTATCATGTAAGAGGCTTATTGTAAATCACAATACTTTAAGTCATTTTAATTTTGCGCTAATGGGATCTAACTTCACAGGCAAATTTTATTTATTTATGCTTGTTATAGACTGGACTGCGAAAGTGTCTGTACAATACAAATTTTAAACATCCTTGGATTTAATATAGCGCCTTATCACTTCTTCGAGACATCTCAAAGTGCTTTACAGAATATACTATAAAGTGAATTGACAGTATATTTTGTGGGCGAAAATCCATTTTCCACTAACATAGATTCTGCATCAAGTGTTAGGTTTGAGTGCTCCGAGACTCTACCCTGAGTAAATGCAAGTTAGGTTAGGTTGTTAGGTTTCAAATTTAGATTGTCCTCCCATGGAATTACAATAATAATGATCTTTGCATTTGATATAGCGCCTTATCACGTCTTCTTTATACGTGTTCATTTAATTAAAGCCACACATGTGGATACAATTATTAGAAATGTCCTGCTGTCCAGATTTTAATGTGAAATTGAATTAGTAAAATGAAAAAAATTAGTCATCATGCTAAATTGTTTGTTCTTAGCATTTTATCATAAATTGTTTACTTGCTAACAGTGTTACANTTTTTTTTCAGATTTACACACTGCCAATCCTTTGCAAGAAAGAAGAATGTAAGAAATACTTTAGTTACCACTGCATGTCTAAACAAAAATTCTCAAAATTAACAAGAAAGGACACACCAAAATTAATATTCACTATCATTTTGTGTAGCTTTTAATTCTCTTAAATTGGTTACTGAGGGTAGGATTCACTCTTTAATATATGTTCCTTAAGATAGTATTAATATCTTATTAAATCTGCTGGTTCATAATTCAAAGAATACCGGTGCAATAAAATTCTATTGTGTCAAATAATATTTCAAGATTCAATTGTATTAAAATTGAAGCCACACCACTCAAAACATCCAGAAAAAATAATTGACAAAGAAATCACAGTAAGTTTGCTGTTTATCTCATAGTACATTCCACAAAATGATCAACATTGATAATTTAAAGCATGGCTTGAGTATATAATTATATAGTATGTAATTTCTGGGCTGTGAGTTCAAATTGAATTCACTTGAGTTAGAGATATTTTAAGATTTAAGATAATTTAAGATGCATTGATAGTAAAATTATCATTGTTTGCTGAATTTAATGAACTCTTTTTATTTGTGAATGTGCATAACTTAATTTTATGTCACAGTGTACCTTAACGAAGCAGGTTTCAACTTTGTCAGGAAGTGTATTGATGCCGTGGAAGCAAGAGGTAAGAGCCTCTTTGAACATGTTGCTTGGAGTTTTAATCACCAACTGCTAACTCTGGTTGGCATCTGAAATCTCAAGATCATTTCTCAATGTTTTTTACATTATTGATCCTTCCTCCACACGTAATGGACACATTATTTCATTACTATCATGATTCCTCTTTCTGCCACGTGTGATGGCTTGAACAGTACACTTGATCACTCAGCACTACTCCAAAACTGGCCAACAGGAAAGTGTTTCAGCACTCTAAGGATTGGCTTTAACAGCTCAGTTTTTACTGCTCCTTGAGATTCAGAATTGTCCTCTACAGGCTTAGCAAGAACTGGTGGTACTCACTCACCTAGGCTCAGGAGTGATTGAATGTCTCTCAAGGCAATAAGTCTGCAAAGCAAGCATCTGGGTTTGAGACTGCAGTGTACTGGCAAAAGAATATCTGCAGTGTTAACCAGGTTGACTTAATTTGTTTGAGCAGCAGTGCGTAACTATGGAAATATGGATTTCAACTGTTCAGTTAGAACAAATGCTAACATTGGGAAACCGAATGTGTTTTATACTGAAAAGAGAATCCTCAGCACTTTGCATACACTTGTGAAGTCTTCAATCTTGCACTTGTGATTAGAAAAAAAATCTCTAAAATAATCATTATTTTACTTAATGTTTTGATGTAATGTAACATGACAAAGTTTGACCCAAGAATATAGGACACAGGGAAATATAATGTGAAACTCCTCAGGTTGCGAAGTGTAACAACTTGCCTGTTAGCAAGGACTGCATGCTTAATAACAGTAAGAATTTCTCATCTTAAATAAGTCGATCATCTATAAACTGCAATTAATAATTCTAGGTAATCTGTTCATTCAGCATTTTGAATTAGCAACATAGGAAACCAAACATTTAGGAACTAGGGAAACAATATTTAGGAACAGAAAAGGTTTTGCTAAAAAGGTCTGCCTTTTGGTCAATTTCTAACCACTTTCCAACCTTTCTCCAAATTGCTCTATCCCTCTTTTTCCAGAATTGCATCTGGTTGTCTCTTGGACACTATTTTATTATTTGCAATTTTTTTTCTAGTAGTTTATTGTCTTGTTTCCATTTCTGTTAAATTAATCTGTTGGGATTCCCCTTTCACTGATAATTACTTGCACCTTGTGATCAATTTGGGTCCTCCAGTTTGATTCGAGTTTTAGCCTTTGCTACTGTGAACAATTTGACTAGATCAGATTCCACCATTCAAAGTATAACTTTTTAATATGTAAAAGGTTTGTTTTATTTTCAGCATGTTATTTGTTCAAAAATAATCTGTGATCTTCTCTTACCTAGGCATTAATGCCATGGGATTGTACAGAATGAGTGGTGTAAATTCCAAAGTGCAGAAGCTAATGAACACAATATTTGGTAAGATATCTTTTAAATTTGCAGAATTACTACCTGGAGAAGGTGATCACTGAGCAAACAACACTGAAGGCTGAATTTAAGTTGGTTTATTTTTCCTATGTTAATTTTTTTTTCTGGTCAGTCGGATGTTTTATACACACAGAATCCCATCACCGTGCTTAAGAGTATCCAAACCAAACTGAGATTTCCTTGTATTCCACCTACATATGGAGATTCCAGAGAGAAATTGTTGGAATGGAATGTGCACACTCTCCCCAGAGGGACACATCCCGTTTAACTAATTTATGACAGTATTAGGCACAGATTGGCAAGAGTCAAAGCTTGGGAACCCCAGAGTCTGCTGGAGTTTAACCAGCTAAAACGGAATAGCTTGCCATTGGGAGCACTGCCTGGAAAGCTTCCATTGCTTGTTCAGCTAAGACCACCCTATTTATTAAGGTTACGGGTTTAGCTTGCAGAGTTATCAGGAGCTGAAAGTAATCCCTACTTCTAGTCTTCCCCTCCAAGTACTGCCAATGAGCCAGGCTAGGTTGAATGTCATCAGCAGTGCCCTGGCATATTCCACACATGCCTAGCTCAGGAACCAGACCTCTGGGACCCCCACAGGGGATTTGAATTACAATATTTTGTTGCCAATCATGTCACCTTGGAGCTAACTCAGCTTCAGGAATTTCGGCACCAACAGAATTAGTTATTTATTATTGGGCATAAACAGTATGCTGTTTACTGATGGCCAGTCAGAGTTTTTTGATCAGACCTAGAGGTAGTGCCCACTTCAGAGCAAAATAGGTACCAATCTTTCATTTGTACTAGTTCAGTTTCTTCTAGTATAACCCATTGATAGCATCGTTAATGGATAGATGATTTTATAATTACCTTGAATTAGCAATGAACTAGTGTCAAAGGATATTCTACACAACTGTATTGTGTACCAGAAAAAGTTCAGGGTGTTATAGGTTAATTTTATCTCCTCAACTCCCAAGGCCCTAACTCTTGCTGTTTAGTTTGGTTCCACAGTTCCAGCAGCTCTCCAATGCCTCAGCTAAGTGGCCATTCTTCATGTATGAGCTTGGGCAGTGAGAATTGACAGGCTATTTTGACTGTTGAGGCATCACAGCTAGGTCCGATCAATAAACCCTGACTGGTCATCACTAAATGGCTTGCTGTTTATGTCAGATAATAAATAAATAACTCTATTGGTGCTGGAATTCCTGTGTTCATTACATGCAGAACAAAAAGCCAGTTTAAGAAAACATTAAGAAGGAACACAAATCAAAAATGTGAGCAGCTGGATTTTCTAAATACAAAGTATGAGGAATTCAGTTTTCTTAGTATTAATAAAATCATGGAAGTCAATGTTGATGCACCTGCAATATTATGTTTGTGATGTAATTTAATCCAACTGAAGGAAAGATCTTGCATTTTATGCCATATGAAACACTATGTGCAACAACTCAGAGCAAATAACTCTCAAGTGTAAAAAACAAAAACAATAATAAATTGGTCACTTTAATCCACGACTGTTTGTGGGACATTGCTGTGCGCAATTGGCTGCCGCGTTCGCCCACAAATATACAGTCAATTCACTTTACAGTGTGTTCTGTGAAGCGCTTTGGGACGTCCTCCCAACGTGAAAAGCGCTATATCAAATGCAAGGATTATTATTATTATAAAAGGCAGGTGGGACCTTCATTTAATGTCTCATCCAATGGATGAGCACCTCCAACAATGCAGGGTTTCAGGATTGCATTAGAGTGTATGCCTTGTTTATATCTTGACGTGGGCTTGAACTCCCAACTTTCTGACCCAGAAGTGTTATTAACTGAGGCAAGCTGACACCTGTGTTGAGTGGTAAAGTTTTTAATATCTCCAATTATTGCTGAAGAACGAGGTGGTTAAACTTAATTCCTAAAAACTATTTTAAGAGGAACCCCACAAGTGTTAGTTTCCACAGTTACATACATATTTGGTGGGGAAAATTCCTCACATGCAAAAAAGGTGGGAAATATCCTAGGATGTGATGGTGTGAATAGTGTCTCACTAACTTTGAGACCCTTGCAGGAATTTTGCGAGAATCTGGACCACTTGAAAGAACTACCAAGTTAAAGCATTAAATGGTGATGTACATCAGCGATATACTTACACACCATGCAAAGTTACTTAAGTTTGTGAATGATGTGTGCTAAAGTGCTGTACTTAACCAACCGCCTCCATTTCATCTCAGAAAATGGTTTCTCCTCCCGCCCTTGCCCGGTCACCTGTGGGGTACCCAGGGCTCCATCCTTGGCCCTCTTCTTTTCCTTATCTATATGCTGGGCATATGTCATCCGCAGACACAGGGTAAACTTCCACATGTATGTGGATGACACACAAATCTACTTTGCCTTCTCCAGTACCAACTCCAGGTCCACCGATGTTCTATCAGCTTGTCTGGCAGACATCAGGGCCTGGATGAGTACAAACTTCCTGCAGCTGAACGTGGAGAAGACAGAAGCCATACTCCTTGGCTCCTGTCAACATCTTCACTTCTGCGGATCTAAACTCAACCTCCCTGGCCTCTTTCCAGACTCTCCGAACCAGTGAGCCATCTAGGTGTCCAGTTCGATCCCCAACTGTCCTTCCTCCCCCACATCAGGTCCCTGACCAGGACCGCTTTCTTCCCTCTCTGCCTCATTGCCCGCCTCCTCTGACCATACCTTACCCCAGATGCAGCTGAAACTCTCGTGCACACGTTGGTCACCTCCTGCCTGGATTACTGAAACGCACTCCTCGTCACTTTGCCCAGCTCCACTATTCAAAAGATCCAGCTCATTCAGAACTCTGCTGCCCGTGTACTTACCTGGACCAAACTCCGTACCCACATCTCACCAGTTCTGGCCAGGCTCCACTGGCTCTCCATCACCGAACAGATCAACTTCAAGATCCTCACCCTCGTGTTCAAATCCCTTCACTCTCTGGCCTCTCAGACCTTTCCTCTGGCTCCGATCTGCTCCACATCCCCCGCCCTAACCGTCCTACCATCGGTGGCCGGGCTTTCAGTCTCTCAGCCCCTAGGCTATGGAACTCCATCCCCCAATGCCTTCGCCTTGCTTCCTCCCTTTCCTCCTTCAAGGCCGGTCTCAAGACCTTTCTTCAACCGTGCCTTCAGCTCCCCTCTCGACTCTCTGTCCCATCCTCGCTATCTCCCTTCCCTCCCCTCACCCTGACCATTTACCCCCTGCTCGGGTCCCGACCCAACTGTCCAGCGCCTTGGGACATCCTCCCAACGTGAAAGGCGCTCTATAAATGCAATCTTGTTGTTGTTGTTCTCACTTCCCAATCCACCGCTCAACTGGCACCGGCCTCCTGCTCGTCCCTCGCATGCTCCGCCCCACTATCAGCGGTTTCACCATTTCAACCACAATACCCCAAAACTCTGGAACACTCTCCCTCAATCCCTCTGACTTGCCCCCTCTCCCCCCCTTTTCAAGTCCCACCTGCAGACTCTCCTCTTCGACCGTGCTTATGGCCACCTCCCCCTCACCATCCCCCTGCCTCGGAGTCAGGCTCAGCCACTGTTAAGCACTCTGAGATGGTACCCGTGCGAAGAGCACTATTTAAATGCAAGTTGTTGTTGTTGTACTGACAAACAAATGTTAGCAATAATGCAGCGAGCAAGCGATGAATCCATCAAATGAAAAACAGGCACAGCTCAGCTGAATGGACCCAGGGAAACAAATCTTCAGAGCATCTCCTTACTGTACAGCAGTGAATTCTGCCAGTATGTCAATTGCTGCAATAGCTTGGATTTACCTGATGGAGAATGTTTCAGTGAGAAACGAAACATTCCAGCAGAAACAAAATGATATGAGAATCTACAGTTTTCACATTATTTACCTTAATACCATTGTCTCAAAATGTAGATCATGCAGAATTTGGGATATTTCCAATTTTTCCACTGTAATTTTTGGGTCCTGTGGAAATTTGGCTTCCAAATGAAGACTGAATTTACCTCTATTGTGGATTGAACGGTCAATTTTTGACAAGATAGCACAGTATTGCATAACAGTAAGAAGTCTGATGGTGAACTTGTTTCACGATTTTAATGTTTTTACTTCACTGAGCTTCAGAAATGTTATGTTTTTTTAAATGAAAAAAATGCAACAGTTGCTCTTTGTTGTGTTTTTCCCCACTTTGTTAATGTGGAAGGTTTATGCACAACCACAGATAGTAGCGAGCAGGGAAATCGTTAATTGCTCTCTACTGGCACGCAGAAAGTAATAATAATAATAGTAATCCTTGCATTTGATATAGCGCTTTTCACGTCAGGAGGACGTCCCAAAGCGCTTCACAGAACACACTGTAAAGTGAATTGACTGTATATTTGTGGCCGAACGCGGCAGCCAATTACGCACAGCAATGTCCCACAAACAGTCGTGGATTGAATATGACCAATTTATTATTGTTTTTGGTTTTGGAGGGATTATTATTAGGCGTGTGGAGTAAGGAAACTTGCCCAAGGTTTCGCCCTCTGCCTAGAATTGAACTCGGGTCTCTCGCTTGCAAAGCGAGTGCTCTAACCACTGAGCTACAGGACTCCACAAGTTGCTAAGCACCCCTGGAGGTGGAGGAGGCTTCTCAGCGGGCATGTTTATGTGCCAATGCCTCTTGCATGAGGACCTTTCGTAGTTACCAGACTTACTATGAGCACCTGGATGGAGCTAGCAGCTCTGGTAAGCCTGTTACGTGGCATTAGACTTGGACCTCAAGAACATCAAGGTGGCCGGCACATCACAAGCTGTCTTGTAAAGGTCCTCCTACCACGTTGAAGGCAGATGCCCGCCAGAAAGCTGATGAGGAAACTCTGAGGCTTGGAGCGACAGCTGCTGGAAGGTGTTACCTGAAGTCTGAGTTTGTGAACATACGTTCGTGCGTTCAGCACCTGGAATTCCCCTTGGTTGGCCGGCGGAGAGGCAAGCAGCTACTGAAACTCTGCACCTCCAATTGGTGGAACCATCGCTCAATAGGAAGGGATGTGTGCCCAAGCTGCGGACAGGAAGATGATGGCCATGCTCTCACCCATTTCGTGCTGAAATGCGTTGACCACCGGGAAGCTTGCAACAACAACAAGATTTCATTTTTTTGAGCGCCTTTCACGTCGGGAGGACGTCTCAAGGCGCTGGACAGTTGGGTTGGGACCCGAGCAGGGGGGAAATGGTCAGGTTGAAGGGAGGGAGCGAGGAGAGGGTACAGAGTCAGGGGAGCTGAAGGCACGGTTGAAGAGAAAAGTCTTGAGACCGGCCTTGAAGGAGGAAAGGGAGGAGGCAAGGCGAAGGCACTGAGGGATGGAGTTCCAGAGCCTAGTGGCTGAGAGGCTGAAGGCTCGGCCACCGATGGTAGGGTGGTTGGGGCGGGGGGTGTGGAGCAGACCGGAGCCAGAGGAACGGAGGGTATGGGCAGGTTAAGTCGGGGGATAGTAGGTCGGAGAGGTAGGAGGGAGCAAGGCCGTGAATGGCCTTGTAGGTGAGGATAAGGATCTTGAATTCGATCCTCTGGGGGATGGGGAGCCAGTGGAGGTGAGCGAGGGTGGGAGTGATGTGGTTGCGAAGCCTGGTGCGGGACAGTACACGAGCTGAAGAGTTCTGAATGACCTGCAGCTTGTGGAGGGAGGTGCAGGGAAGGCCGGCGAGGAGAGAGTTGCAGTAGTCCAGCCTTGAGGTGATATAGGAGTGGACCAGTGTTTCATCAGCGTGAGGGGTGAGGTAGTGCCGTAGTCTGGCGATGTTCCGGAGGTGGTGGAAGGCGGTGCCAGTTGTGGTGCGGATGTGGGGAAGAAAGGACAGCTCAGGTTCGAACAGAACACCGAGGTTCCTGATTGGCTTTGAGAGGTGGAGAGTGCAGCCTTGGAAGCTGAGGCTGTCAGCGCCTGAGGTGCGGAGGCGCTGACGCGAGCCAATCGAGGGCCTCAGTTTGGTGCATGTTGAGCTGAAGAAAGTTGTCTCTCGCCCAAGACTCAATGCCAGACAGGTAGGCTGTCAGGACATCGGTGGTTGTGGAGTTGAGGGTAGAGGAGGAAAGGTAGAGTTGGGTGTCATCCGCATACATGTGGAAGTTAACTCCATTTCTGCGGATGATGTCACCAAGGGGGAGCATATAGAGGGTGAAGAGGAGGGGACCGAGGTCAGAGCCCTGAGGGACGCCGCACGAGACAGTGCGGGGGCTGGAGGAAAAGCTGTTTGTAGAAACAAACTGAAGACGGTGGGAGAGGTAGGACCTAAACCACTCAAGGACAGGGCCTTGAAGGTTGAGGTGGGAGGACAAGCGGTGGAGGAGGATAGAGTGGTCGACCGTATCGAATGCCGCCGATAGGTCGAGGAGGTTAAGGTTGCAGGGAGTTCTTTGTACCTACCACCCACAACAACAACAACAAGATTTCATTTATAGAGCGCCTTTCACGTCGGGAGGACGACCCAAGGCGCTGGACAGTTGGGTCAGGACCCGAGCAGGGGGGGAAGGGTGAGGGGAGGGAAGGGACGGAGCGAGGAGGGGGTAGGGAGTCGAGAGGGGAGCTGAAGGGGACCCACCTAGTGAAGGCTCAAACTCACACTTGTCAGATGTTGAACGACCAACTAGTGACTATCCTTGGGTGGGCAGTGGGTGGAGGAGGTAAGCTGGGGTCTCCTTGAAGCTAAACTGGTTCCAAGGTGAAATGCCTGGCAGTGGAATGTCAGAATCGAGCCAGCCATATGTGGCAAAGTCCGGTTCCTGAGCCAGGCGAGTCCGCAGTATTCCAGGGCAAGCCTGATGACAGCACAGAGAGCCTGGCTCATCGGCAGGACCTGGAAGGGCAGACCAGTTACTGGCAGGAGGGAGTCATCCCATTCAACTCCTGTTATCCCTGCACATTCCATTCCAACAATCTGTCTCTGGGATTTCCATGTGTAGGTGGGATGCATGGAAATCTCAGCTTGGTTTGAATATTCTTAAGCATGGGGATGGGTTTCCATATGTGTCAGACACCTGGCTGAACCAACAAAAATTGCCTCTAATAATGTTAATGTATCAAATAGGTAAATCTAAAATATTTTACTTCATCAGCTCCTAAGGCAGCTCCTGACATGGACCTTGACACTGAATTATGGGACATGAAAACAATCACAAGTGGTCTTAAAAACTACCTCAGGTATGTACAGTTCTTTACAGTTCCTATTTACAGACCATACTTTGTGATGTTGAAACTAAGCCCAACATGTTCTCAATGAGTATATTCAAATGGTTTGGATATTCTATTTCAGTCCTCCGAGGCACTGCCCCGCGTGAAGGACAAGTTGGTAAATGCAAGTTGTTGTTGATTCAGCCAACAGCAAACTCAGCTGAGATGGAATTGAATCAAATCATTGAAATCCTCATCTACTTTTTTTTCAAATGTCTTAAGTTATGAATGCTTAAAAAATTGTGAGAACATGAATTAAATGATGGTGAAATTTGGGTTAATCTAAAACCGCTCGAGTTAAACGAAAACTTTGCAGCTTGCCATTGTGGACACCAGAAAGCTTCCTGCTGCTTGTCCAGCTATGAGCACCCTGTCTGTTAGCATTTATATAGTGCCCTTCACATTGGATAATGTGTTGGAGAGCTATACAGTGTCAAGGTGCTGAGGCATAACATAGAAATTTTCCTCCAACCTTTATCCTGAACTTTTGTTTGTGCCCAGAAGCATTTTCCTAAATTTTTCTTTAAACACAATACCAACCTAAAACACTGCTCTGAACTCTCAGACCTCTCTCTCTGGCTGGCACATCCTAATTGCTTTGGTAATGATGCACTCCACAACAGTAGTGAGCTTCTGTGGTTGATCAAATTCAAAGTATCACTTCTGCAGTGAGGCTGTTATCTGCACAGCTGAATATTATTGCTGATCAGTGGGGAGTGACAGCAGTCGATAATTAAATTTTTGGAACAGTTTCTCTTGACTGTAAGTGTTATCATTCAAACCACAATCCAAGACCCCATTGTCGACGAAAACATCGACATCCTCACCGAAACCTGGGTCACCCCAGACAACACCTTCCCCTGACCAAAGCCACAGCACCCGGCTACACCTTCCACCATACCCCACGACTTAACCACTGTGGTGGTGGTGTGGCTCTCATCTCCCGGTCCCCACTCGGCCTATCCCTTTACTCCTTCGGAACCTGCCCCTCCTTTGAGCACCTTACCCTCTGCCATCTCTCCAACCTTTCCTTCAAAATCCTTCTTGTTTATTGTCTCCACAAACCTTCCTCCACCTTTCTCTCGGACATTTCCACCCTCCTATCTTCCCTTTCCGTCTACTCCGAACGTCTCCTTATCATAGGCAACTTCAACCTGCACGTCACCTCCTCCTGCTCTATCTCTGCTGACTTCTCTCTCCTCTCTCAACACCCTGTCCCTTCACATCCACTCCGCCACCCACGTCCATGGCCACCTGTTTGACCTGGTGATTACCCAGGGCCTCAGCACTTCCGACCTCACTATCACAGATAAAACCATCTGGGACCATTATTTCATCTTCCTTAACTCCTCAATCCCTCTCCCCACAGCCATCCAACCATCTCTGCTCCCTCAAGGGACAGGTGCGTGCTGCCGAACGCACCTGGCTCAAATCTAACTTAATAATCCATCAGCAGATCAGGCTGGACCTTATCAAAACTTACTGCTCCGCCCTCGCCTGCGCTAAATCGTCCTTTTACTCCCAAGACAATCTTGGAGGCCAAGGACAACCCCAGGCTCCTCTTCTCCATTACAAACTGGCTCCTCCACCCACCCACTCACACCTTGCCCGTCCTCTCCTCCAACGCCAGCTGCGATGTGATCCTGGACTTCCTCGAAACCAAATCCACTCAGCTGCCTCTGGCCTTCTGACCACTACCCCCTCCCAACCTCCCCCTCACAACCTGGCCCTTACACATCCCTCCCTCCACACCTTCATACCTGTCTCCCCCTCTTCTCTCATCACCACTATAACTCGCATGAAACCGACCACCTGCTCCCTTGACCCCATCCCTATCCCTCTCCTTACCTCCCAGCTCCACCTCCTTATCCCTCCACTCACAAACATCATAAACCTCTCCCTGTCCACTGGTACTGTTCCCACCCCATTAAAAATGGCCATCATCACTCCTATCCTTAAAAGAAAAGCCATCCTTTCCAAGGTCCTGGAACGAATCGTTGCTTCCCAGCTTCAGTCCTTCCTCTCCCACCACTCCCTTCACGGACGGCGCCCCTCACTGTTTGAAACGTAAATGGGGCTTCTCCCAATGCACTAACCAATAATCCTCCAAACAAAAATTGGTCATTCACTTCATGGCTGTTTGTGGGATATTGCTGATTGCACATTGGCTGCTGCATTTGCCTAGCAAAACACAATCAATACACTTTGCAGTGAATCCTGTGAAGTACTTTAAGAAGTCCTCCCAATGTGAAAGGCTCTAAATCCAATGAAAAGATTAATATTATAACATGTCTAACCAATCCATCATGCTATCACAGGTTTCCTTTGAGTGCTAACATTTGGGGAGCAGTTGGCAAGCTGCTGATAAGGTAAAAGAAGCCGCTTGGTTGATAGGAAAGAGGATGAAAGAAAGAAATCCCAAACTTCTTTTGGTGCTTTGACTAGCAGAGATTAAGACAATTAAAATCATAGTTAAAATACCAAATCCTTGTCTTGAAATTTGTTAATCCATAAATTGCAATGCGTCAGTTTAAGAACTGTTCATGTTGTTTGTTTCAGCCCTACTAACTTAAATAGTTCTTTTTTTCTTTCCAAAATAAATTCCTAGGTGCCTTGTAGAACCACTGATGACTTACAAGCTACATAAGGATTTCATTGGAGCCGTCAGTAAGTAGAATTAACTATAACTGAAACTGAAATATTCTTTTGTGCATAGTGTTAAAATACTAGGTGCTGTCATTACTCAGAGTGTTGAGTGAAGAGACACACCTTTGTTTAAATGTTGGCAGACACTTCCAAGTGCTAACTGTGAGAAAGGCAAATTTGGAATCAGTGATTTGTTTCATAAAGTAGCGACCAATTGTGATGCCCCTGAGTTATGATCTAACCCGCTTCTGAGAATTTCATAAGCCACTTGACCGCAAAACATTTTGAAACATCGAACAATCTGGAATTAGAAGTGGAGAAGGAGTCCATGTAAAGCCATTCTCTGAGGAGACTCTGCAAACATGGTTTATGAGAGACAGAACACTTTGTTGGGGGAGGATAAGCCACACCCCACAGTAATGGTTATGCGTGAAGGGATAAATTAGGTGGCAGTGTAGCATCTTCTTACGCTGGTAGGAAGGTCGCAAGATCCATAGAAGTTACATTTACATAGTGGCTTTTACATCGGGAGGACGTCACAAAGCACTTTGATTAGCAACTGAAGAGGAACTGTTTTTTCACTTCAGGGGACATAGATGGGTAGCAAGTTTGGTTCTGTATCTCACTAATTTCTCATCAGTTCCAATAGGCTTTTTTCAAAGATTTTGCAGGTGTTGAGAGACAGAAATGCTGTGAACACAGCTGAACAATAAGAAAACTTTAATTTTTATAGCATCTATAATACCGAAAGATCTAAATCCGCATTGCCATTTTCTTCCAGTATCTTACCACACTTTATGCAGGTTTTTATTTAGTTTTAACAGAAGTATGTTTCCCTATATTTTGGTGGGAATGTTCAAAAACACTGGCAGTATTTAAATGAACATTTCAAAGGCGATATTATTTATTTTTTCTTGATGGGATGTGAAATTTCATTCTGTGACATAGAAATGGGTTTGATTGTCTATTGGAAGATGTGCATGAGCTGTCAGTCCTCTTCAAGGTAAACTACCCAAGCAATTTGTTAAAAGTTAGTAGCTCTTAAGATCAACCATTATTTTTAATGTCAGGAACTTAAGTTGTGCTCCTGCTGCAGCTGAAATGGGTTTATAGGTGTGTATGAATTACTAGTGACACACCTTTGCAGACTGCATCTCCTACCTGCACACCTTGTTCCTTCCCATTGTAATCCCATTATAAGTGTGGAACAAAACATTCAATAGCATTAATAAACAGAAATTCAAATGAAATGTTGATCATCAGATGCTAAACCAAGGATTTTAGGACCTCATTGGCTCTGGGCTTGCTCCACATTACCTCGGCACAAAATTATTCAGGTCTTTATTTGCTTTTAATAACTAGCAGATTTAACTTTGTGATTTTCTTCTTACCACGCACCACAATATTATGCCAACTAATATAAATAAAATAGAATTAAATGCTAATCAGCATTGTAAGAAACTAGGTGACCAGATTTGTTGATGTAAAGTGGTTTCATATCCCAATTGGTAGCTGAAGTAGGATGTCAGACAAAATCGATACTTCTCTCTTATGTGATATCCTTTGATGTTCTCAGCACCCAAAGAGGAGCCTGTTAGTAACTCCTGTATGTTTTATGATTGTTAAGACAAAATCATATGAGGATCAAAACCTGTAATTTCTTGTCTGGATATACATGGAATTGTCTGGTAATGGTATGCTATGACCTTAGGGAACATAATAATTGCTGTCTGATTTATTGAACTTGTGCTTGCTATCCTGGAATCGTGGAAGACTTATTACTTCTAGCAGTGCAGTAATGGAGTTGGAAGCCCGATTAATACTTTCTCTCTCTCTGTCTCTCTCCTGGCCCAGTCACACTGTGGGATGATGAGAGTTCTGCACAGTCCCAGCTGAACGCTAATAGTGGATTGTTTGTTACAGATTTGATAAGACTGCCCAATACCTGGAAGCTGAATCAATTTTGGTGATGATATACATTCTGGGGTGCAAAAAACATGCTGCTGAAACCAGCACCTTGGGGTGGTCTCCACAGCAGGTCTACTGTGCCTTTTGTTTTGGGATTCAGACATGATTTAAACTATGCTTGATAATCATGGCATTTCACCACACAAGTTGAGTGTAAACACATCATTAGATGCTGGCATTAGCTGTTTTTTTCAATATAGATTGTATCTTATGACATTTGGAACTGAAAAATTCCAAATTGTTGGCAAGTTGTGATTTGTTTTTAATAAAAAAAATGCCTAGCAAATTAAGCAATACAATTACAGCAGTCTCGGGTTTGGTAAGATAGCATTGGCGCCCTCAGGGATACAGGGTTAGATCTGTTCTATCACAGCACTGTAAATTGTGACTATCCGTCCACGTTGTACTTGTATCACTGATCCCTGCTTTTCTTCCTCTCTGCTTATTCTGAGATTGTTCAAAGAGCAAATATTAATGATAGATAGACACTATGCTTTTCTGAGATTATCTTCAATTGTAAAAAATAATTATTGTTATCCTCAAAGCTGCTGGGAATCCATTTTGTTTCACAGATAGGTAGTAGTTGGAGATCCAGCCCATATGTTGAAAACATTTTAATTATAAAGCTTTAAGCCAGCGATCCAGATTGACACAAATTTTACTTTTCCCAACAAACATGCACTCAATTTATAAACATGAATACACCTACAAATAGGACTAGGAAAGGTTATGGCAAGATTATCAATATTTAGGAAGCTCTGTGATGAGCTACTGTCTTGTGCATCTATTTTTAATACATGTCAAAATCTTTTGTGTTGCCAACAATTTTTCATGTTATGCAAATAGAACCATTATTCTTCACCTCAGACATTCCTCATACCTGGTATCTGTTTCAAACCCCACTATGGTCCACTCCCATCATTTTCCCCATTGTTATTACCAAGTTTGAACACTAAACTTCCTTATCGATTTAGTGTTCAATCTGGGAACAGTAAAGACTTTGGGCATTTTACAATCTTCAATGCAAGTAGGCCACTTTTGTTAGCAATTGTGGAGTCCTGTAGCTCAATGGTTAGAGCACTCGCTTTGCAAGCGAGAGACCTGAGTTCAATTCCAGGCAGGGCGAAACCTTGGGCAAGTTTCCTTACTCCACACGCCTAATAATAATCCCTCCAAAACTAAAAAAAAAATAATAAATTGGTCATTTTCAATCTACGACTGTTTGTGGGACATTGCTGTGCGTAATTGGCTGCCGCGTTCGCCCACAAATATACAGTCAATTCACTTTACAGTATGTTCTGTGAAGCGCTTTGGGACGTCCTCCCGACGTGAAAAGCGCTATATCAAATGCAAGGATTATTATTATTAATTAGGATGCGAGTACAACCTTTTTTTTAGTCTATTTGTCTTTTCCATTCCTGTTCTTTAAATACTGTGAATGGGGGAGAAGCTAGAGAGACAGAAAGAGAAATTGAGATAAATGTATAACTGTAGAGAGCAGGTGAGGGGGAGAGAAAGATGGGGGAAGAAAACAATAAAAGGGACGAAAGTTGGGAAAACAGTGCCGAATAAAATACTGCAGGCTGGATCAATTAGAGTCTTTACCAGTTATGTTAATATATTGTTTCAAAATGCTCGACCCTGGTGGAAGTTTCCCAGGTCTTTTCTTTATATTTATTGTAAAGAAGCCTGTCGAGAATATTTAGAAAATGACGAACCATTTTCTAGCCAATGGTTGATCTCGCTTGTCTTCAATCCCTTCATGCCGAACACCTCCTTACCTCTCTGATCTGCTTACTCACCAACCCAATCTACTACCTGCTGCCTCCGCTCGACTGGTTCTGGCCTCCTGCTTGTCCTTCATATCCTCCATTCCACTATCGGTAGCCATGCTTTCAGCCACTACTTCCCGAAATTCTGGAACACTCTCCCGCTATTACTCTGCCTTGCTATTTCCTTCCCCATTTTTAGGTCGTGCCTGGACCTTCCTTTTCGACCGTACCTACGGTCATCTCCCCCTCCCCCGGCTCAGTGCTCCGCCACTGCCAAGCACTCCGCACTCTGGAACTCTACCCTGCATGAAGGACGCTATATAAATGCAAGTTGTTTGTTGTTCATTATATTCTGATGCTTAAATAGACAGTGTTGGAGTTCAGAGGAAGCAGTTATTGCTTCCCAATAATATATCATAGCAATCAAAATATTTTCAATGTTATAACATTTTCCCAGGGGTAATAATTCCTTTTAAAAAAAGAAAAAAATGGTCACTCAATCCTCCAATACCTCCAAGATCAAATTGGACCATGTTTCCCTGACAATCATCATTTGCAGCTTTGAAATGCCATTAATATCACACTAATCTGAAAATAATGATGTTTTGTATATTTTTGATGATATTCGTTCCAAAGCTATGACTTTTACTGGCATAAAATCTATGACATGACACTACGTCAAGTGGAATTTCAAAAGCCTTTAGTATTGTCAAAATTCAGCATTTAAAAGAGGCTGTGTTTCTCAAATTGTACTGTATAATCTGGGGTGGGTTGGTATTAGGGAGGATGGAGGGTAGGAGGGTGGCTGAAGGCATGGTCAAAGAGGAGGGTCTTGAGTCGGGCCTTGAAGGAGGCAAGGGAGGGAGCAAGGCGGAGGGATTATGGATAGAGTTCCAAAGAGTAGGGGAAGGGAGGCTCAAAGCCCGGCTGCCGATGGTAGGACAGGTTGGGCGGGAATCATGGAGCAGGCTGGAGCCTGCTGAGCAGAGGGAGCGGACAGGTTGATAGGGGGTCAGCAGGTCAGAGATGTAGGAGGGGGCAAGGCCGTGGAGGGCCTTGAAAGTGAGGATAACGATTTTGAATTCTATCCTTTGAGGAATGGGGAGCCAGGTGAGGGTGGGGGCGGTGGGGTCACGGAGCCTGGTGCAGGAGAGACATGAGCTGCAGAGTTCTGGATGATCTGCAACTTGTGGAGGGAAAAGTTGAGGAGGCCTTGAGTTGACGAATGCATGTATGAGGGTTTCGACGGGCTCTCGGTTGAGTTAGTGGCAGAGTTGGGCAATGTTGCCAGGGTGGGGGAAGGCAGAGCGAGTCATGGCATGAATATGGGGGAGAAAAGACAGTTGAGGGTGGAACAAGACGTTTAGGTTCCTAACTAGCTTGGTGAGGTGACGTGTGCATCCATGGATGCTGATTCTGCCAGTGCCTGAGGTGGCTTGTTGGCCATTCAGGGGTTTGTTGGCCAGAAAACCTGGAGAGAGAAACTCGATTCTCCTTTCAAATAGCACCAGGATCTTTAACATCCACCTGCACAGGCTGGGAGTTTTGTTTAGTGTCTCACATGAAGCATCTCAGTTGACCCAGAGCTTCCCCCAGCACTACACTGGAATGCCAGTCTAGACTATATAGGTCCAAGTCCCTATGTGAGGCTTGAAACCACAATCTTCTGATTCAGAGGTGAGAATGCTACCACTGAGCCAGGCTGACACCTCTACAGGGCAAAGTATTGTGGATACAGCCTTTATATTGTAATTTTAAAGGCCTCATCATTAGGGTACAAAGTACTGTGGTTAATAAAGATTGCATAAACAAACATAGTTTATGCAACCTTTATTAATGCTCAATGCAATTTGGGAAAAAGTAAGAGCGAGAGTTCTCTCTGTATTCTGTAAATGTAGACTTTTGAGAGTGGTTCATTAATTGGCTCGTTAATAGGTTCACCTTCCTGTTTCTCACAATTCCGCCTTGTGGTAGACAAAATATAAAAACAACAGCAGCTTCCCTGCTAACTGCGGAGAGAGGGGTAGAGAATGCTACTGAAGTAGAGCTCCCTCAGCAAGTGCTGTTTTGTTCATTAGGGGATCGCTCAGTTCTGCAAAGTGAGGACAATAACATTGCTATTGCTGCCAGAAGTGTTTCCTGGCAACATGTCAGTGGTAAATTTTGTTGGATTTAGTGCTGTTTTTAACAATAAGTGATTTTCTGAGCAGATACTTTGGATAAGAATAAAATGTGTGGTTATTCCAGCTGTTTTTAATAGCTGCATATGTGTAGTTATTCAAGCACGTGTCATGATATAGTTTGGAACATTTATGGATTCAACCTATAACCTCTGTATAAACTCCCATATGTTGCATTGAAGTGAAAGACATGCAAAAACCTTAATCACAACGAAACATATAACTACAGTAGTTATGGTTGTGTAAACTGCTATTTAGAGCTAGAGTTAATAGCAATACATTAACTTTATATGTAAAATTCAGTTTACCTTCCTGAGCTGAACTGACTCCAACATGACATGCTTTGGCAATGGAATTTCAGAATCGAACCAACCCTCTGTGGCAATCTCGGTCGTCCGGTTCCTGAGCCACGTGGGTCTGCAGTATTCCAGGGCACTGTTGATGTCAGACTACACAGCCTGGCTCATCACCAAGGGTAGACCATTCACTGGGCAGGGATTCTTCCCACTCAGTTCCTGTTAGCCCTACAAGCCAAAGCCCTAATGGGTAGGATGGTCCTAGGAACGATATTTACTGGAGTTTAAACATTGAAGTTCATATTTTCATTTTGAGATGCACGAAATACTTTCTGCATCTGGCTTTGTTTTCAGTTGGACTCTAATGGCAACACAGGTCTCTTGCTCCTTCCTCTTGTCGTTTTGATCATGCGCAAGAGTGCCATCTGGGAGTGATGGAGATGAAATTGCATGCTGATGGATTTCCACATGTTTCGGACACCCGGCTGACCAAAAACAAATGTGTGCAGGCAGAGGTCAATACAGACATTTTCCGTGTATATATATACATATACGTTCGTGTCCACAGGTCAGTTCAGACATTCTGTGCGTGCGTGCGCGTGTACAGATTGTCCAAGAGAAATATCTAATGAGAATTGGGAACTTTGTGATGAATTTTTGGTGTGAGTTGTGTCCCATTATCACGTAGGTTCTGTTTTTTATGGTCCCCAACAACTGCGTCACGGCTGTAATACAATAACTAATACATTCATTTATAAGCATGATGGTACTTGCATCAACATCTTTCCTAATGCTCTTCTTTTTCTTTCCATTTGCTATTGTATTTGTTAAGTGTGTCAATGGGTGCAATCTACATAAAAGTTCATTCTATGAAAATGCAAAAATATTATCCAATGTTTGGTTAGAAATTCCATTTGGGTCTATATTTACTCTATTAATGTAAAATTTCAGACTTCAAAATGTTTTAACTTTGAAGTCCATTTTCTGTAGTTAAAAGAAAACTGGCTTCAACTTTCAAGATTGTGTTTAACTACTCGATTAATTTTGGATGCTCTGACATGCTACATAAATAAGCGTAAATCTAAATACAGGTGGAGTTAATGCCTTCATTTGAAAGAGACTGATGCAGTGGAATTTTTTTTAAAAAAGGGTTCTGATATTGTGTTACATTCATTTGGAATTATTGAAAGATTTCTCTACTTGATTGTGCTAAATAAAGTCTAATTAAACAAAGCACAGGCAATGGTGCAACTCTCTTGTAATCACACCATAACTGTCAGTTCACAGGACTCGGGATAGATAATCATTTTCACATTCCTGATGCTATAGTTTAGCTGAATTTCCCAGACTGTGTGTAATGAGGTAATGGAGCATTAGACGGTGCATAGTGTCTGTCATTGTAGTTGACTTCATGTGAAGTGAGATTGGCTTTTTTGGCATATAAAGAATTTAAAGTAAATTTATTGGGGAGAGGAACAAATTGTACATAACAAAGTTACGTATTGTTGAGAACATCTCTTTAAGAAACAAAATTTAAGTTTTAAGTTTAACATGAAAAGTTAAATGTTGTGTTAAAAGAATGTAATTATTTTTCTTTAGAGTCAGATGACCAGAATTATCGAGTTCGTGCTGTTCATGCCCTAGTTTATAAATTACCGGAAAAGAATCGAGAGATGCTGGACCTTCTCCTGAAACACCTGGTGAAGTGAGTTGAAATATTCATCCTCGTTAGCCATTTAAAAGTCTTGTGCAAAGAATGACCATCTGCTTTTAGAGCAATACAGTACAGCCCTATTATAACACACTTCTTTATAATATCGGGATGAGTAGTTGTGGAAATAATGTACAAGATGAAAGAGGTTAAAATTGTATCTGGCTTGGAGAGAGCTGTGTTCAATTTGCTCCCCCACATCAATCGTGATATTCTGTTAATAGAGCATTGTGGTGATAGGGTAGAAGATTAGTTCCAGCTATGAAGAAAAATTGACCAGCCTAGGATGTTTCTGCCTAGAAAAGAGAAGACCGGGAGACTTGATAGAGCCTGTTTAAAACTATAAAAGGCTTAGAATATTTGAATGCTGGTAAGTGTTTCTGCTTCATGCAGGATTAAAACAAGTGGCCTTCTTTGTAAGATAATGAAAGCAAAAGTGAATAATAGAAAGTGTGGGAATTTTTTTTCGAAAAGGGCAGTAGGCACCTGGAACAAATGACCAGAACAATACAATACAAATTACATTTGTATAGCGCCTTTCACATCGGGAGGACAAGTGGTGGAAGAGGTATATAAAGGATTTGCAACTTAATACAAAATTAATTTTTTATAGTGACTCATGTCGAGAGGACATTCCAAGTGCTGGAAAGTCTATGTTTTGCATCTTTTAAAAAAGGATCCAGAGAAGTTCCTGGAAATTAGAAGGAATCAGGGATGTAAGATGAGATGGATGTGTCATTAAAGACATTTTTTGTGAAGTTGGATGAGATTAACACATAGACCGGTAGCCTCCTACCTGAAACCTGAATATTTTAGTGGTTCATGTGGAGGCAAGAAGAGCTTAGAAGAAAGAAATGAAGTGTCTTAGTTCTCAAATGATGACTGAAGTGCAGAAAGCATATTATATAGGTCTGTTTAAAAAAAGACACAAAATACTGCAGATGTTGGAAATCTGAAAACAAAAACAAGTTGCTGGGAACACTCACCAAGTCAGGCAGCATCTATGGAGAAAGGAAAGTAAGTCAACGTTTCAGGTCCAAGACCCTTCATCAGAACTGCCGAAGGGTCATGGATCCGAAATGTTGACTCACTTTCCTTTCTCCGTAGATGCTGCCAGACTTGCTGAGTGTTTCCAGCGACTTCTGTTTCTGTTATATAGGTCTGTCTTGTGTATCAAAAATCATCAACTTCATAAAATACTTTTTGACTTGGATCAGCAGTTTTAGGAGGTGTAGTCATGCAGTTGAGGACAAGCTGCTGTCCATCGACATATAGCTCAAGTTAGCTTGTGAGTCGGTGGTCTCTGGGGGAGATTTGGGAGCTGCTGAAGAGGGCAAATCCTTATGGTCCAGCTATTCTTTTCTAGACAGATAAATTCTGTTGGGGTTGCTCTCAATTTCTCATCATCAGGAGAGGGCACTACAAAAACGATCCACTCAACCAAAAAATGTACATTGTGTTTCATAGTCTGATATTTTAGTAACTATATATAAAAGACACTAGAGTCGGCTCATAATTCCTCAGAAAATACTATGTAATGGAATTAAAATTTGTTTAAATCATTCGTTGATCATTTTTTATAAGAACATATTAACATTGAATGCCGACCTTTTCATGTTTTCAGACATTTGGGGTTATATGTACTCAATTGCCCATCTGTTTGAGTGTGAGTCTATCTTTAGATTTGCTGACGTTTTTCATGATTTTCCATACAGTTCAAGGAAAAAAAAACGAAGTGCACGATAGGATAATATGCCACTTTTAACAACCTCAACAATATAGATACAATAAATGCTAAAATGCTCTCTAACAAAAAGAGAAGACGAGCAAAGGAAGTTTGCCAAGCGGTGTGACGTATTGTTAACAATGAATTGCCGACACTCCATCATTGGATTGATAGGGAGCCCCAAGGAGTTTCAGAGCAGTGGCTAAAAGATCCATTCTGTGCCATTTGATTCCACCCTGGAGTCCCTCTGCCTCACCCCTCCCTCTCCACTTTTAATACCTGCCTTCAACTGTGCTTTGGTCACCTTTACTTTGCCCCCTCCCCTCGGATGCCCAGTTAGCTGCGTGAAGTGTTTTGAGATATCCTTCTGACATGAAAGGCACTATATATTGTGGGTATAGCATGCATGAACACACGCAGGGCCTTTTTTTTTGCTGGTACTCACAGCCCCATGACCACTTAGGACGTGTAAAAAGTTGGTAGGTATTTATGCAGTATTCATCAATGATGTGATTATTACCACTAATATTAACATGTCACAGGTTTTCATCGCACCTTTCACCCTGGTTTGCCAAACATAAAAACAATCTGGGATTAAAATAAGTGAACCTTTCCATAACCTGTCATTTCAGAGTATCCACCCACAGTCAGAAAAACCTTATGACTGTATCCAACCTGGGTGTCATTTTTGGACCCACCCTGATGAGATCCCAAGAGGAGACTGTAGCAGCAATGATGAACATTAAATTTCAGAACATTGTGGTTGAGATTCTGATTGAGAATTATGAAAAGGTACTGTACGAGTTACATATTTTTTCATTGACTTAGATGATCAGATCCATTTTTGTCCCATTTAATCATGCTAAATACTGTTTACAGGTATTGGGAATAGAATGTCCAGGTCTTCAAAGCATGAAATTCCAATTTAATTTTGTACAGGTTTCCCAAAATATTAGATAAATAATCTGTTGTGGAACACAGTTTACTGTATCAATCCCATTTTCTGCTTAAAGTATTTATATTATATATCAATTAACGTTTATGTTCTCGGACCCACAGATATTCAATACTCCACCAGATCCAAATGTTCCTCTTCCCCAACCTGAGCAGAGATCTGGAACGAGGCGAAGCAAAGCCACTTGCCTCTCCACAGGTCCAAGAAGGATCTACACTCCAACATTATGTCTGGCTGATGCAGACAGTAAGTAAATTGAGAGTTATTTGGATTTTCCTGCTTATCTTGCTCCTTTTGAGTTTTATTGTGAACCACAAACCTAGACCAAGCCAGAATTGCTAGTAGCATTGTTTTTGTGCTCTGGGAATCCATTCGTGCATACAAGTGGTCTGATTCACATATTGAATTTGATATGCGTTTTGAAAATGCTAGACCAGCGTATCTGCTTTGAGTTACACTAGTTTGGCATTGTTTCACGTGTCTTTTCATTTGTGCGAAAATAAATAAATGTCAAGTGAATAATGCATAATATCCTGAGGTTATGTCTTCAGCAGTTGTATAAAAAATCAAGAATGGCTAACTCTTGTTCTGTAGGTTTATTGATCCTATTGATGAGGTTCAGAATTTTGCACAAGCTTATTTGCTTCTCTTTCCCTTTGCCATTTTTGTATGAATATTATTCATATAATTATTAATGTATCTTCCTTACCTTAAAATTGCAAAAAAAATAGGATTTGGCTGTTTCATCTAATGTTAAGGTATGCTACAATGACAGATGCACTGGAAATAGTGTCTGGAAGGTAAGTCTAATCAGTGGTTTTAGTAAAGACATTATATCTGTTTTATGAAGCAACTTCATAAGCAAAAGTGAAGTGACCCTCTCGGGATGTTGGTTTCAGCTCAAATGGAATAAACGTTATAACTGCTACTTGACAACCTGCCAGTTTCTAGGGTAATAAACATTCAACAGAAGCTTTATCAATACACCACTTGGTGATGGAGTTTAATGTTTTATTACCACCATTATGGTTTAGAAGAGGAACATAAAAATTTACTGCAGTTGGCTTGAAGAGGTCTGAAGACGCACACATGCAGAAAAATCTGTATTTGATTTCTGAGCAATACAGTAGCAGAAGCAACTTAATGGTTGTAATATTTTGAGTAATGTGGAATGGAGAGAGCTTTTGTTTATGTAAAAACATTATTTTAGGTCTAAGAATAACCTGATCCAAGTGTCAGTTAAAACAAGTGGTTCTACATTGATAAATTGACTTGACCAGTGGAAACTAAGAACAGCATAACACTAATTAAGGTTATAGGATTTCATAGATTCAAAAGAAGCATATGTAAATTTGGAGAACAGGGTGAAGATCTTTTAAAGATGTCAGATCAAGGGGAAGGCTTGATCTTTTTGTCTCCTATTGTGTACCATGTCACCAGAGGCCCCAAAAATTAATCCGGTCTAAGACTTAGACCATTGTATTGAAATATGATTGCGCAGAATTATGGAAAACTTCTTAAATTCTCCCTTAACTTTTGCAAGAGGTTGAGCCAGCTAAGGATCCAATATATGTCAAAAGGGAAAATAAACTTCAGCCATGTAGAAAGAGGACTGACAATAAATCTTCACGTTAGAAATGAGCAGAAGAGATTTTATTTGGATGTTTCCCAATGAGGCTCCCATTAGTAAAAGGGAATCCAGTTGCTCAAGAATATATATTTTTTTATACGACTTGCACAAATTTGCCTATAACTCGTACTTTGTGTACGTTATGTTCCTGAATGATACGACTTGTGTGAGTTTTACTGTATTAATAATTAATAATATGAACTTCATTTTAGGAAAAAACATTAAAAGCTACAAACTCAGTACTGCATTAAACGCATTACAAAGCTCTTCCTGGTCAGTACGACCAAATTGTAAAGTCTTGTCATAGAATGTAAGAGTGTCCTTTCATTTTTCATTAATCAAATTTGTTGAAGTAAATCATATTGTACATTCTGTGCGTCCTTGGATATTCTTGCTCTCTCTCTTTCCAACCAGTGAAATTTTCATCTCTGTGAAAAAACATTCTATATTGGCACTTGACAATGGCAAAGCGAAGATGCACAAAATGTATTCTGACACGTCTTGGTTGGTGTGATAAACCAGATGAGCTTCAATGCTCAAGGATGAATTGAATTTTAAATTTCAATTTTCCAAACTCAAAGGTTAGATCTAATACAGTGATGAAAAGATCTGCCTATCATATTGTTTAATGGCTGGCATTAAGACAGACATTTCACAGGTGTTTTTAGGGAGTAAGTACAGAGGGTTTCTTGAAAGGCAGCACCAGTGAAGGTTTCATGGACTGGAGGAGTCGGGACTCAATAAAATTATAATAATTTATAATTATAATAATTCATCAATAATTCATTGATGACTCAATAATTCATCAGACATTTCTACCTGAGTAGGATCAGTTATTTCCTTTCCTTCTTTACATTCCTTGTTTTAAACATAGTAAGTTTGTCATTTCTTTTGGTCAGCGGAAACCCTTCACCATTCTCAAGATTCTCCAAACCAAACGATTGAGATCTTTCTTCCTTTTACATACGTATTTGATTTACAGTCATTACACTTTACAATAAATCCTGTGTAGTAGGTTGAGATGTCCTCATAATGTGAAAGGCACTAGATGCAAAGATGATTATTATGAAAGCTATTTGCATTTTAATTGCAAAAATTAATTCGCTGGTGAAACTAGTTTGGAAATGATATTAACCAACTTCTAGCTGATTCGTGTAACTTGTTACTGTCAAGAAACTAGTTTGGAAAAGATATTAACCAACTTCTAGCTGATTCATGTAACTTGTTACTGTCAAGTGAACCTTGTTAATTATAAACAAAAGTAGGAAATGTTTAAAGTTTCTCTGTATGAGCTTGAAAAGTTTTTATTAGAAGACTTGGAGGAGATTTGCATGTTTTTCTATATCTCAAAGTACTCATAGAGCATAAATTTGCAAATTTACATGCCTTGCTTTTAGTATTTGTCATGCATTCAACGACAAAGCTCAGTACTGTGCAGACTAACACAGTTCTTATTCATTCTCTTCAGGTGACACTTTCAGCAGCAGCCCTGACAGTACACCAATGGGAAGCATAGAGTCCTTGTCCTCTCATTCATCAGAACTAAATACTTCCTCCAAAACTAGCTCTTCTCAGCACCATTCACAAAGAGAGATGGGAGTTAGTGGATTACAATGGACCTCGGGATCTGCCTCATCACCTGGACAGAAAGGCGCATTGATCTGGACTACGAGCCCAGAATTGAGCTCCAGTGAAGATACAGTTAAAACAGATGGCCAGTCAGATTCTCAGAGTGTGTCATCTGTTACTAATACAACAAATGCATCTCAGCCCTTAAGCTTGTGCAGTGAAGGTCCTCATAAATTGTCTGGACTTAAAAGATCAATAACTACCTCTCTAAATTCTCTTCCTACAACAGATGGTAAGTTAATGAGTATTTTTGTAATGATTGAATTGAATGATTGCAAAGTAGAAATAAAATTAGGGACGGATTTTGTCTGATTTATTTTCCAGGTACCAGTACTAGAGTGTTTAGCAGTTCTGTTCAGAATCTTTCCTCGGTGGAGTTGAAAGACATGCCTAAGACTGCATCCAACCCAGCAATTCCTCCCAAAATGGCTACTAGAAGAAGATTAGATTCGTCAGCAAGCAATGGTTATCAGAAACCAGGGTCTGTGTAAGTACAAGTATTGTGAATAACCCTTTGTGGTGGCAGCTTAATTTGTACAGTAAAGTGTGTAAGTCTAAAGAACACCACTTATACCCATACATACCTCATGTCCCCAGGAAATACCTGGTTGGCATTGATGTCCTGTGATATTTAAGTGCTAATGCCAAACGTGCAGTTAAAAACTGCTGATTTAATTTGATGTTTCCTCTGAGGTATGATGCCTGGAAGAGTGGAATGGCTTTGCACCATTATTTTTGAGTACTATTGAAGTTGATGTTGAGCTAAATTCCAGTTTTAAGCTTAGACATCAAAAGTTTAGCAAGCATTATAATGGTGGCCCATTGTAACTACATTAACCAGCAGAGTATCAATTAAGTACCATTCATCTATATCCCAGAATTGTTCTGTAAACAACAAATGCTTTTAATTTTCCCTTTTTAATGAGTGGCTATTTATTAGCAATAATCTAGAAATGTGGTAAGGTTTAGAACTAAACAATATCCAATCTCAAAATGACCCAGACTTGGAATGTTTACTAATTTTAGGTTAAGTTTTCCTTTTCGGGAACCCGATTACTCACTCAAAAGTGAGTATTTTGATAAAAAATAATGTGGCGGATGATTCACAAGGTGCCTGATAAGTGCCACATAGGAGACTTGTTGAAAAAATTAAGTTGCACCATATTAAAGGAAATGTGCAGCATAGATAGAACATTAACTCAAGGACAGAAATGTAGAGAAGGTGTAAATGTGTTTTCCAGATTGACGAGATGTAAACCATCGTGTCACCCAGTGATAGCGATCAGTGATCATTGTCTTCTTAATATAAATACATGATATGGATTAAGAACACACAATATCAATGTTTACAGACAGTACATAAATATGGAGAGAGGAGCTGTGAAGAGAATTGTAAGTGACTTCAGGAGAACAAGCAGATGGGTGGATTGGCCAAGTAATTGCAGATGAAATTTAATGCAGAAAAGTGTGAGATGATAAATTTTGGAATAAAGAATGAGAGGAAATATACATTAAATTTGAAAGAAGTGTACAAGTATAAAGGATTAACATATGTATCATTAAAAGTGGGAAGACAAATTGATAAAAGCTCAAACGAGATTAACTCCCAGACTCTGCTTTATTGCTGCAAGTATATCCTTTTAATAACAATGAGCAGTACACACTGTTTGAAGAAGGGGAACTCTGCACCAGCAGATTAATAAGAATTTTAGGCATTAACTGTACAGAAAAAGTCAAATTTTAATTCAATTCTGACCTTGAATAGATCAATTAATAGAAATGTTTCTTTGTTTCTAGGGTTGCATCTAGAACTCAGTTGTTTGAAAATTTTGGCCTTCCTAAACACAATTCCTTAGGACGGTAAGATTTTAATTCATATTGTTTCCGTTTACATGTTCTAATTCTGCAATTAAAGTACAGTACTTAGGGATCATTTCCAATTGCCAGAAATGTTTAAAGCAGCAAAAATCTCTCACAAATCCATGTTTTAAAAGAAAATAGTTTAATAAAATACAGCAGGTAGAAAATAATTTTAAAAGTCTTAAAATGAAAAAGGCTTTTAAGAAAACAGAAAAATGAATTAGAAAAGAAAGATCATATGGTAAGCACTAATAGATTGTTTTTTGTTGTTACCTTAAATCACCCACAAAATGTACAGTCAATTCACTTTGCAGTATATTCTGTAAAATGCTTTGAGGCGTCTTGAAGATATGATAAGGCTCTATATCAAATGCAAGGATTATTATTACTATTATTGGTGGTGTATTTATGAGCAAAATCTCTCCTGGTGATTGTAGACACATGGCTGGAATCTTTTTTTGTTATGTAAAAATGCACAAGCTAGAAATATGACAAACCAGGTGCCACAGAACAACAGCCCCGAAACTTCTCATGATCTTAGATTTAAGACCAATATCGTAAAATGTAACAATAGGTGATTTTTTTCAAAAACCTATTAAGAATGACTCATGAAATCTGCTCCATCTAATATAATATGACAATTGTTTTAAGGCTTGAGAAATGTTGGACCTCACAGGTCCCCAAACCGGCTGACAAACCACAAAATAACAAACCAATATAGTGTTATTCTGATAATAATATAATAATAATCATTCTTGCATTTGATATAGCACCTTATCACGTCTTCGAGACGCCTCAAAACGCTTTACAGATATACTGTTAAGTGACTTGACTGTATATTTTGTGGGGAAAACGTGATCTACACCAGCAATAATCTACCCCCCATGATGTACCCATCATGTACCCATCATGCGGGGTAGCCTTACAGAGCAATTCCAGTGGGTTATTTGGAAAGGAAAAGTTCCTCTTGCTGTTGTTGATTTGAGCTGTCCAAAGCTGTTGTATATTGCAGAAATACATTCAAAAATTGCATATCCTTGAAGGAATTCGTGATTACATAAAAAAAGGTTTGATAAACAGTTATGGGTCTTCCTTTGCTGCATTTTTGGAGAAAATGAAAGCAATTTGTTTTTTCTAGTTTTCTTCAGTTCTCTTTTATTTACCTCAAAGTAGACTGAGCAATGCCAAACACAATAGGAGCAAAGAATTCCCCAGTAGCGAATGGTGAGGTGCGGGTTCAATTTTCCTCCTTTCACTGAGTTCCCAATCTCAGTCACACTGAGCAACTGTGTGAGGAAGCTGAGTAATAAACATAATAGTGCAGCAGGTTACCCACACCTGTAGCCAAGTGGTAGATGCACGCTGCATGTCTAAGGGCATTACAGATATATAATTACTCAACCTTGTGTGGCTGAACACCGTATGTTCCTCCAAGAAGTTGGACACAGACCACTCGAAGGTCTCGTCACTATTTAGCTTGTAGAAGTTTCATTCATTATCACAATTAAAATCACTCCACAAACTAAGAATGGCTACCCACAAAGGAGGGAAAGCTATCAATTCCGTGTCTAGGCTGGGTGAGAAGTCCCATGTTGAATCGTTGAGATTCCTGAACTGCCCTGTTTAAGATCTGTATCTTTAAGGATGATAATTTAGTCCTTTTAATTATTCTGCTCCATAATACAGTAGGACTGTATTAGATGGCATGATTTGTTATATTGCAGGTTTGTTTATAATGTGTACTCCCTATGGAACCGTGGCAAACTTTCTACACTGCCTGGCCTCCTAAGTGCATGAGCTTATTATCATCGAGGTCATATGATCATTAATGTCACGGTGACAACGATAGTGTCCTGTTATAACATAATCAAAAGGACCTAAATTATCATCAGTGAGATATAGATGTTAAACAAGTAGTTCAGGAAGTTGGTAGGCAGATGGGGTTCTGCCTCCATTTCTGATGTCATCAGCCATCTGCTACAACAACAACAACAAGATTCCATTTATAGAGCGCCTTTCACGTCGGGAGGACGTCCCAAGGCGCTGTAGAGTTGGGTCAGGACCCGAGCAGGGGGGAAATGGTCAGGGTAAGGGGAGGGAAGGGAGGGAGCGAGGAGGGGGTAGAGAGTCGAGAGGGGAGCTGAAGGCACGGTCAAAGAGAAAGGTCTTGAGACCGGCCTTGAAGGAGGAAAGGGAGGAGGCGGCGAAGGCACTGGGGGATAGAGTTCCAGAGCCTCGGGGCTGAGAGGCTGAAGGCCCGGCCACCGATGGTAGGGCGGTTGGGGCAGGGGATGTGGAGCAGACCGGAGCCAGAGGAACGGAGGGTACGGGCAGGTAGGTAGGGGGATAGTAGGTCGGAGAGGTAGGAGGGAGCAAGGCCGTAAATGGCCTTGTAGGTGAGGATGAGGATCTTGAAATCAATCCTCTGGGGGATGGGGAGCCAGTGGAGGTGAGCGAGGGTGGGAGTGATGTGGTCGCGAAGCCTGGTGCCGGCGAGGAGAGAGTTCCCGTAGTCCAGCCTTGAGGTGATAAAGGCGTGGACCAGAGTTTCAGCAGCGTGAGGGGTGAGGTAGTGCCGTAGTCTGGCGACATTCCGGAGAGAATCTCAAAAACACCAAAGTAAGGAGAGTTTAAGATGAGTGCAATTAGTTTGAGAGTTTAATCTCTGAGTGACTGAGAGACATTAAAAATGATTGTAATCAGCTAGATCAAAAAATTAGCTTGGTTAAAAAAGACAAAGTAAATTCAGAAGAAGCAGAAAAACAATTGGAAGCATCCAATCCCATGTGTAATGCTATTACAAAGCTGGCTACCACTCACAGAAGTATATTTTGCTAGACATGTAAACTGGCCTATAACGTAAGGCAATTTTGTACAAAAAATAACTTGTAACTAGAGTTGGTATATCAACAAACACAAGACTGGTAATCAGGGAGGTGAGAAAGGTCATTTTCAGAAGTGGTTACGGTACAATTTTGATTGTTTATTGCATTAAAAAATGGAATATAATACAAATAGTTCTGTGGTTCTAAATAAATTGTATGCTTATCGTTAATTTGTCTGTGTGTTTTGTGTTACATTATATCTTTTTTGAACAGCCAAGCAAAAGCTATGTATGCTTGTAAAGCAGAGCACAGCCATGAGCTTTCTTTCCCACAGGGGGCAATATTTACTAATGGTGAGTACTGCGATTATTTTTAATATATATTTCCTGTGGTGCAGTATTAATTAGCTATCATTGATTGCTTAAATGTGATACATATATTAGACGCTACTTATAGTAATAATACTTGCATTTGATATAGTGACTTATCACAGTGAATCATCTCAATTCTGTAAAGTATCGTAATTATGTATTTGTAGGTGAATGCAGCAGCCAATTTGTGCACAGCAATGTGCTAAAATTGCATGGCATCCCTACAGTGTATTGGTTAGAGCACTTGCCTCGCAATTGAGAGGACCCGGGTTCCATTCCCAGACAGGGCGCAAGTTTCCTTATTCCACACGCTCTGTTTACCTGGCAGTAAGTTGGAACCCGATTGTTAGTCAATTTGCAGATCACATTCCAGGAGCAATAATCCCAAATAATAATAGTTTGGTCACTCAATTCACAACTGTTTGTGGGACACTGCTGTTTTCAATTGGCTGCCTTGCTTCGCCCATAAAATATACGTTCAATTCACTTTACGGTATATTCTATAAAGATCTTTGAGACATCTCAATGACATGATAAGGTGCTATATCAAATGCAAAGATTATTATCATTATGTTCTACATTTAACCATGAAGTGAATGATCAATTATTGATCTGTAGGATTGTTGGCCAAGAAACTAAAACAGTATTATCTTTAATGTCCACGTGCCCAGATGGATGGGACCTTATTTAACATATTTTCAGAATAGACAACTCTGACAATGAAGTGGAAACTCAACCTCCATGTGTCAGCTTGGCACAGTGGTAGCCTCTGAATCAGAAGGTTGTGGACTCAAGCCTTACATCGAATCTTAGAATGACATAGTCTGAGCTGATACTCCAATGCAGTCTTGGGGGTGTGTGCATTGTTGGAGGTGCCATCCTTTGGGTGAGATGTTAAATTGAGATCTCATCTGCCTGTTCAGGTGGATGTTAAGGATCCCATGACACAGTTCGAAAAGAGAAGGGAGGTTCACCCGGTGTCTTGGCCAACAATTCCCCAAATAAAAAAAACTGGTCACTCACTCCATGGTTGTGGGATATTGCTGTACGCAACTTGTTGCCACGTTTTGCCCACAAAATACATAGACAATCCACTTTACAGTATACCCTGTGAAGTGCTTTGAGACGTCTCAACGACATGAGAAGGAGTTATAGAAATTGCAAGAACTATAATTGTAACCTAGACTGTGAGTTCAAAGTTCTGAAATTGGACTTGAACCCACAACCTTCTGACTCAGAAGAACAAGTGCTACCAACTAAGCTGAAAAATTACAATAACAATTGGAATGCACGTGGATTTGGCGTTGAAGTCACTTTGTATATTTTTTACACTTCACACTGCGGACTTTGGGAAAATAGTTTGCTTATTCCTGTCTTTGAGAAAATGAACAAACTGACAAAATCTGTAAATAATTTACATTTAGTGTAAATGTAAAATGATTACTCGTTATGATGAGACCATAACAACAAAAACGTGCATTTACATAGCGCCCTTCACGCGAGGCAGGCCAGCCGAGAGTAGGCAGTGGGTGGTGGAGGGTGGGATAAGCAGGTCAGATAGGTAGGGAGGTGCGAGGGTTTGAAGGATTTGAAAATGAGTGAGAAGATCTTGAAATCGATCCATTCGGTAATTGGGCACCAGTGGAGTCTGGCAATGATTGGTGTGATGGGGGGTACAGAGTTTTGTGCGGGTGAATATCTGGGCAGCTGAGGTTTGAATTAATTGGATTTAGTGTTTGATGGAGCTGGGGAGACCGGCAAGGAGGGCATTGGAATAGTCCAGTTGGGGTGTGACGAAGGCATGGACGAGGGTAGATTTAATTCAGTAGTTTATATTGCTGAGCTTGTAGTCATTAAATGTTTATTCAAATGTTATTATTGCTGTTGAATTTAAAACATAAATTGGCCTGAGAACCCACTGAGACATTAAATCTTGCACTTGATTTTATTCAAATGCAAATGTGTCTTTTTTAGGTTTGTGAATATGTAAATGTTGCATTTCATTATTGCACACTTAAGGTTTTCTGATATTTCCAACACCTTTTACAGAAATTTAGAAATGCACTCGCAGGGGGAAGCCATTTGGCCTGTTACTTTGTGCCACTTTTTGCTCCTCCAAGAAGCCATCCAACTTTAATCCCAATTCTCTGCTCTTTATCCTCTTTTTCCATTTCTCTGCATATACGTGTCCAGTTATTTTTAAATGCCCCAATCGACTTTGCTCTAACCCCTGGCAAATCATTCAATAATATCAGGAACCTAATATTAATACAGCCTGAGTAATGTAGCCTCTTGTTTGTTTATTAGTGGTTTTAATACATGTTTTATTAGTCCTGGTAAAATTCCTAACAACTTGATGTTATTTCTAAGTCTAAGGTTGTGTGTTAGTTCCTTGCTTGTCTTGGCTTTATGTTACTGATACAACATCTCCCCTTGAGGCCTGTTTTTGCTTATGAAAAACAAGATAGATTGAAAGTTTGAAAATCAAGACAGAAAACTAATCATTCGAAATGGATCTAAAGCCCTATTTGTTTAGATCTAAAGATCTAAATAAGAAACAAAGGAAATGCAAGGTGAAAATAGAATATAGGCAAAAGTGATCAGGGAAGGAACTGAGGAAACAGAAGCAGTAAAAAAAATAGAAAGGAACGCAGAAGGGGAAAGAAAGGAAGAATAACTAAAACTGAGATATGATTAGAAAGACAAGTTGGGGCCAGAAAAATGCTGAGTAACTAATCAAAAATATAAACAAAAATAAGTAATTTAAGAAAAATCTGAGAACAGCAATGAAATATAAATGTTTATTCCTTAAGCCTTTTATTACAAAATCGCTCTAATAGTAGACACTTGTCAATTAAATAGGCAAAATTGTGCTAACTATTGATTTTCCTACTTCAAGTTAAATCTTCCTATATTTTTCTGGCATATATTATCCAACCCAGAGGCAAGACAGTCCTGACTTCAATCCACATATTTTTAATTTATTTTATTTTGAGTCAAAGATTTGTTGCATTCCAAACCGCCAAACGTTCTCATAAAATTGTCTAAAGTATTTTTCAGCCTTTATAGGTTCACTGATGACTTTCTGTATTTCTCTTGTGCCGCCTAACCTCATATACTAAATAAAATTGCAAGATCGTAAACATTTGCTCCTGTAAATAGTTCCTGCAGTCTAAGAACATCTCTTTCAGAGATCAAAGGGATGCAATAGTTGTCTCTGGGCTGTGTTTCATGCTTGCTGCATATTGTCAATTTTATTCCCTTTTTTGAGGCAAAGTCCCATTATACCCTATATTATTGCTGTTGCATTTGTTCCACCACTGATATTACATTATGAACAGACTTTTACTTGCTTTGCTACATGCGCAGGATTAAACCATTTAATATACTGGTGTCTGTATCTTTATAATGTTAGTTATTAAAAAAGTGTAAATGTTCTAAATTTAAAATAAGTCTACATTACCGTAGTGTTCAATGGATCGAAATCCAGTGAAAATGAGAAGGTGTTTGAGTGGTAGATGTCAGGATGGATGGCTGTACTCCTGAAATGGTTCTCAGCACCATTTGGTGTGATACAGATGTTTTTAATTCATTCAGTGCTGGATCTGAGCCTGATTCCATTTAACTCTCAGAACAGTCAAACATGTAATGCATAATGTCTGCAAATAGCGTACAAGATTTCCATTCTGTGTAATCAAGATGTTTTTGCTTAATTCCCTGTACCCTATAATATTCTCACATTATTTTGTATGGGGAAAAAAAAAGTCAAGGTTGTGCAAAAAAGGTTTCTTGCAAACATTCTAAATGCTTCAAATGCATTCCTCCCCCATAGATTTAACAGTAATAAATGTTTAAATTCTAAAACATATGATTTTTGAAGCATTTTCATTCTGTTTACTCTAGTGCACACATCGGTGGAACCAGGTTGGCTACAGGGAACGTATGAAGGCAAAACGGGACTGATCCCTGCAAATTATGTTGCTTTCCTTTGATAACTGCTGGCACAAGCAGAAAATCTCCATGGTATCCATGAAAAGAGAACGCTTCATACTGAGAATGCTTTACTGTATTTCAATGCAGCAAAAGGCATCTCAGCTGCTCAAAAGGGTCTTGATTGCTTTCTGAGTGTGACGCCTGTGGAATATGTGCCTCCCTTGACGTATGGATTAAACTAATTTGGTCTACAAAATAGTGTTTCTATCATAAGCCCTTTGTTTAACTGTCCTTATTTAGGCATAGCCATAATCATGAAAGGTTTTGCAACAACGTGATGAGAAAAGCTAGTGTCTGAATTCAGTCAGGATGCCTATGTTTTACATAATGTTTGTATTGCTAGGCTCTTGTTACAATGCTAAATGGTTGGCACAGTTTATATTTGAACAGTCATCAAAGCTTTATTTTTATTATTGATTTTAGTTTGCTGTTTATTGAAAAGTGTGCTACTTATGGAGAGTGAATACAGGAACTTGTACATATGGTCAGGGCTGCAATACAAATTCTCTTATCAAGTTGAGTCTATGAGTTGAATCTATTTGGCAATGGGGAGGGCGGGGCTGCAGATGATTTTCACTTAAGTTATTTTTGCTTCTCCAGCCTAAAACTTCCCAAATTAGGTTTAAAGTTAGTTACTTTGGAATTCCACATGCATCTAAGCTTCAGGCGTCAGCAGGGAGGTATGGATGCTGGTGACTGCTTTTGTTTCTGGAACAAATCAAGCCATTGTCTGTTAAGACATTACTTTTCTTGAACTTAATGGGATGGTTTTATCCGAATGAGTCCCCAGTATCATTGAAATCTATCTACTTTAGCAACATAACAAGAAGATCTAAATTACATTTGCATTTTGGGAGATTGATTTCAAATGTAACTTGCTTTGGTTAATACTTTATGATGCCCAAACACTTATGAGCAAGTAAACTCACCAAAACCAAGGAGTAATTCAGAGTTTCAAACAACAAATAAAAAATAATTGTTCATTTCCTTTCAACTGGCTTTGAGTTCTTCCTGGCCCTCTGATTCCTTGCCCACCTTGGCCTTACCTCCTTTATCAACCTTATTCTCAACTCACTTACCACTACCACACATCCCCTTGGTGCAACCTCCACCTCCACTCCTTTAAATACCAGGCCTGTGGTGCCAAATCCAGCCCCATAGCATCCGCTAAATTTGCTTGGCCATACCAAAGTCTCTGGCTTCACCCTTGCCTCAGTCAAATCGTCTTTCTATTCCAGTATCATCCTGAAGGCTAAAGACAATGCTAAAATCCTTTTCTCTACCTCTGACTGGCTCCTTTACCCACCTTTCCATGCCCCCCCCATCCTTGCCTCCAACGTCAAATGTATCTGGGTTTCCTGCTTGCCAGACCCCCCCCCCCCCCCAGCTTTTCACTATATAGACTGCAGAACCTCCAGGGACTTTACAGCCCACTTCCTCTCCTGCACAAGGCTCTGCAAGCCTCTTGTTCCCCCATCTCCTTTGCGGATCAAAACTAAGATCCTCGTTGTTGCATTTAAATTCCTCCATGGTTTCATCTTGCCCTTCCTCTGCCACCTCTTACAATCCTAGTGACCCATCCAACATAGCCTACCTTACCGTTTGACTGCATTTTCAGTTGTCCACACACACCTTATCCCCCGGCTCGCGTGCCCAGCTACCTGTAATACAGAGCTTTGAGACATCCTACTGATATAAGACGCATTATAAATATAATTCTTTTGTATTAAGATTCAGGATAATTGGGCTGTTTGTAAAAAGATTTAATCTTCTCTTAGCTGTACATTATTGTAGTGGTCCCAGCATATGTTCTTTAGTCCTTATTCATCAACTATTGTGTGCAAGAAGCCTACACTTATTTCACTCTTCATGCAATATTTCTCTGTGTTAGTGTAATATATATTTACCTGTATATACACAGAATATATGTTCACCTTCCATCTGCTAAAAAAATCTTGAAAAAAATTCTTTTATTTTTGCATTTGATATTTTGAAATTGAAAGGATTTTTAAGAAAGCGTTATCCTTGAGATTTTATTTTGTAGCAATTTTTGAAATAAAAACCTGCCCTGCATTAGAAGTGAAAGCAGCAGGAGTACAGGAAATGTGCCAGCTTTGGGCACTGATCGCACTTTTATTTGCCCTAACCTTATTTTTTCCAATACACTGGTGTATTGGTTTCTCAATGTGATTTTTTTTCTGAATCTATCATTCATTTGTAACATTGCTAGTTTGAAATGTATATTGTCAAATAGTTCAGTTATTTGTAGTGTATTTAATAATTATTAGTGTTTGTATGTCGCAATCTGTATGAAATATAAAACTTCAGAAAAAATGTATAAAATCACAATAGTGCCTATAGCACAGTATGTATCTTATGTCGTCTTAAACATTCACATTTCTAAGGATGAATTAAGACAGAATAATGATGAAATGTTTAAAGTAATACAATTATATATTCTGGTAGCAGGAAATTGTGCTCACACCGTGTAACAGAGTGCAATTTTTTTTTACTGTTGCAAAATGGATAGTTTACGCAGTACTACGGTGCAATTGAGTTTGGTTGAACTGGGTGACAGTTTGGGATAGTTTAGTCCTTTGCATCTGGTAAAAATGATTAACACAATGTAAGTAATTGGAAGTGTAAATTTACCAGTAATGCATATGGATTTACTCAGCACCATTTCCAATTTTTATTATTTTTAAAAAGAAAATCCACCTAAGGGTTGTCTCGGCAGAGCCGATTCAACATAACCAGTAGAATGTAGGGGTGGGTGAACCTGAACTTCCTACCTTTCCCCTCGACACCTAGGCTTTTAAAGCAAGAAGCTGATTGAAGCTAAATGTATTGGATTAAATAATCAAATGATACTGTGCACTAGAATAGTGCAAATTTACTGTAAGGATCAGTGACAGTGTTCTGTGGGTGAATGTGAATGGCCTCAAATCCTTCATTACAAATTGGTTTATATATTCCATTTAATCTGTTTGATGGAGACACAGAAGTTGTGATGTATTATCACTGGTTTGTGGAGTACTGTCTGAACTGAACAAAAAAGCTGAGTTAAACTGGTGTTCCTCTAATAGACATGGCAAGTTAGCAAATCCAATGGCTATCGAGGGGCTGCTTTGGGCCCAGCCTTAGGAGTGGAGCTGCTTTTTATCAAAAAGTGATAATTGTCACATCACAAGCTGCAATCTCATCCCCTTAGTTTTTTTTCCTCAAGAAGAAGCTTGACTCCTTTTTCCTTCTATTGGGTAGAGTTCCATTGGCAATAGCCTCACCCAAGAGGCTATTACTCTCATGAGCCTTGAAGAGGGAGTGTCAGTGGGCTATTTGATTGAGGGGAAATCACAGCTTCCTACTTGCCATCAATACATATGCACCTCCAATAATAAGTGTGGGATCTGAAGCTTTTGCCACCCCAATCCACCCCTCCAACCCAAAGCCCTGAGGTCAATTATAGTGCCCTTAGCAACACCAGGCTAAGATCCACTAACTCCCCAGACTAGAGAATGAACTTGGGACACTCCCCATCAGGGCCTCCCAGCTGTTCATTGAATAAACTCGCTGAGACACTCGGGCAAACCTATTTGACACAGTTTGATGTAAGCAATATTGTATAAGTAGGATGCACCAATACTCTGATATTGATACAATGTAATTCAGCATTTTAATGGTACTTGGTTAAAAATAACAGAATGTACAAAAGTATGTTTACAAACCTTTGAGTTACAAAGTGCTGGAAACTATCAAAGTCTGATAAAGGAAGTTTCTATTTTGGAAACTAAATTGTATTGAAAATACCAATTCTCTCCCGTTTGACCATAACCTTTAACCTTCTACTGTCCTTGGGTAAGTCTTTATGTTACACAGCTATCTGTGTTGAATAACTCTGTGATGTAAGAGATGGCCTGTGTACCCATATATGTATAAAGGGTAAATACCCTTTTTGTTTTTCAAGTTATTTGTACCATACAGTTGATAAGAAAATCATTGTGGTTTGCCTTGCTCAATTAGGAACAAATATATTATTTAGAAATATCTTTTAAAGTCAAGTTCATTATTGCCTTTTATATTAACAATGTTAGTAGTTTTCAGTTTATTTATTTCTTTGTATGTATTTATGTTCAGCAAAGTGAAGGATAATGCTGTAATGTCACAGAATGTTCCCCCCAATTTAAACTCAATGATATCAAATAATCCTATGATAGATGTATCACTGAACTCAGTTCCTTCTGCACTTTGCTGTAGAAATGCACCTAAATCTCCTTTCAATTTCCGTTGAATAACCCTGCTAGAATATAGCTAATTATAACAGAATTGAGTACAATTTGTGGTCCCCCATCTAGAAGAAACTGGCGTAAGGCTACTGTAACTCATTTCAATTGCCCTCTCACAGGCTGACATTCTTCTTCCTTCCTCCCTGAACTGAATTCAAACCCTCAACCCATAAAAAGATTTGTTTTTGCAATAAACTGCTATCACAGCCCATTGGTCAACCAGGGCTTTTGTGACCTTTCTTCCCTCCAAAAACACAACCCAAAATTCAGCATCCATTTCATTTTGCTAAAAGAAATAGCTGCATTATTTGTTAACGGTACAATTGATTCACCTCCTTGATACACAGATGCAGTTCTAAGTGTTAACGTGTACTATATTGCTCTGTCTAATATTCCCTATCACTAAATTATAGGAGTTGAATTTAAGCTGGTGCCGTTTTTTGGCAAGACTATTGTTCAAATTATTTGTAAAGCCATTTGTCCCATGTTACCTGTGATGTATGGTGCAGTCTAAAACTTTCTGTATTAATGACTTGCTCGCACTGCATCTATGGCTCACATGCAGGAAACACTGAGGGATTGAAAGTCTAGCCTAACTTCAGCAGGTGTATACTGCATGGCTAGACTTTCGTGAGACCCTCCTCACACGAATACAAACTTTATAACTATTATTGGGCTAATTTTTCAGCCTGGGTGTATAATTTGGACCATGTTTCCAAAGAGAGAGCATGCACAGTATACATGGAATAATATGGTAATATCCCAGATTGTCAGCCTTTTTAAAAGATAAGAGTATAGTGCTCCATAGAGACGCTTTGTAACTTGGATTATTAACAGGACTAGCTGGAAAAATCTGTATTTCTTATATAATTGTACCCATTTCATGTATTGAGATTCAAATCTTTTGTTTTGAGTGTGCTTTGCGGAATATTTATTTCTATCTAGTGTCCCACTTTCTATTTCCACATAAGAGAAAGAAATGTTACGCATGGCACACTATTACACAGACAATTCCCACCATGTCAGAGCTGACTTCAACTGCTTTGTTGTAAATAAATAGAATAAACCTTTGCTTTTTGTCGTGTTGTGTATCAGTCTGGTTCAGTTCGTAGCATTCTACAAATAATTGCCTACATATACAATCACTACACTTCCTGTGCAGTGTTCCAGACACTATAATCAAATGCAAGGATGATTGTTATTGTATCTGCAGTATAAAATATGTATTTTTGGTCAGATGCTTATGCATTCTCCCAAACACTTGAGAGATTTGAATTGCACCATCCTTTGCAGGTAATTTGGGGGTAAATTTTAAATACTGTATTTTGTTTACTTAATGTTCTAATATTCAGTTTCTGTATTTGTGGTGCTGAGATTTTTTGCTGAGATTTTTTTTTAAATCTCAATAATTCAAGTACCATACAGAAGGCTATCATCTTTGATACACAAGCAGCTAAAAATAACAAATGGAGTTTCTGTTCTTAATTGCTGTCTGCTTGTCACACTAAGTCAGGCCAACGAGTTTTATGCATTTTGCTCCAAGTTGAAGCATGAAGTTGAGAACAAAATGTTGGTTACCACTACCTCAGGGTAAAATGTCTGTTATTGCTTGGTTCTCCAGAGGCAAGCCTGAGAAACAATCAAACCCATCCCAACTGTGACAGCCACTCCTGGAGCGCTTTCAATCCCAGATCCATGTGTTCCAGATGTTCCAAAATACTTTCCAAGATGGAACTCCCTCTCCCACCACTCAATTTCCCTTTTTGTCTTTGCATCCTTTGAAGGTACCTCTGACCATCTCTCCCCCCCCCCCCCTCCCCATTTCCATTGTTGAGTGTCCAGTCCCATCCCTATGAAGTGCTCCAAGACGCTACCCTTTATAAAATATGCTATATATAAGCAAGTTGTTGTTTCAAGTCAAACTGTTGAGAGAATCTGGTCTTGTCAGCTGTTCTCTGGGGGTGAGAGCAATCTCTAGTGCTAAGCTCTTTCCTTCATCACTTTCTGAAAAAAATAAATGCTCTCGAAACATAGCAGAGAGATGCAAAATTCTACCACCTTTTAGAAGATGTTGTTCGAAGATTCATGACACAAAATATAAAGGTTTAATTATAATAGCTGGCATGTCATGTGCTACAGTCAGATGTTGATACTGCACTCAGCACTGAGTATTCCCTACTGAGCTGTACTGTTATTCTCTGATATATAGTTATGATGCTCAGTTATACCTTGTTTTAGTGAGGGAATAAGGGATATGATTTGTACCCAAATCCTTGACATTTCTATTGCATAAAAATTGCTGAACTCTTTTTCAGTATTGACTCTAGGTTAATGAGTCCCACCTCAGGGATTTGTGTCACCACAAGGCTGTTTCGGTCAACAAATCCCTGCCAATAAAAACAGTCAGTTGATCTTGCCTCATCCCTGATGTCTCTGTTGCTTCTTATTGCTGTCCTGTCTGGAATAAAGTTGAAATTTTAATACTTTAAAGTGCACGTTATGTACCTATTCATCCTGATTGTCATGCTGATTATACTCCTGTGGTGTATCTCAGGGCTCTCTTGCTTTTTTTCATTTGGGTG